TTTTTGAAAACCTAAAAAAACCATCAGAATATTTTTATCTTCTATATTACTTTGGTTAATTAAAAAATACTGAGATTCTTAAGAATTACAAAATTATCAGATTATTATCAACACCTTTACAACTGTATCACTATCTTCCTTACTGATAAAAAAATATCCTTTAATATCCTAATATTTATATTTATTTCAAATATATTATATAAATACATCAGGAATTAAATAAAAATATTTTATAACACTATACAAACACCATTCTATAGTGTTATTTGAATAACACTAACATACTAGAATACAATATTCTAGTGCATTAAACATTTCATATTAATAGTATATTAAATATATCATTCTAGTACATTATTTAAATATTTCATATATATAATATATTAAAATTGATGTTTTTAGTATATTATTTAAACATTTCATATTATAACATACTAGAATATCTCTATAAAATTCCTGATATAAACACTAGTCTTATTTATTTATTTTATATATAGAATCTATTGTTGACTGTAATTTGCCTTTACTAAAGTACAATAACTAACAACTAATAACAGGAAAACTAATGTATAAGAAATTACAAAACAGTTATATAAATGTGTTAAAGTTGAAAAGTTTATACTATTAGATAAGTATAAAAGGTAAAAAACTTGGGATTGTGGGTTTTATTTGAAAGAGACAAGGCAGATTTGAGGTTTTATAAATATAACTTATTACTAAAAATTATAATATCAAATAAAACTAACTAAAACAAGAATAAATTAAACTAACAAAATATTAACTAATAAATTACTATCTTTATTCACAAAGAAGAATAATTTCACTAAGGAAATATTTACTAGGATTACAAAACAAAATAAATATTATTACAAAGAAAATGCTCAGAACACAAAGCAGAACTTAACAAATTATCTATTCTAATTATGCAGTAGAATAATAATCACAAAAAATAATGCTGAGATCACAAAACAAAGTAATTACAAAAAAACTTTTTATTGAAAAATCATAAAGATTTTAAATTATTATTTGTCACAAAGACTCTATTAATAATTTATTACTAATATTGAGTTCTGAATTTCTAACTATTTAAATTAATTATTAAATTAATTTAAACTGATTTAAACTGTCCTTTCAAAAGTGAGAAAAATCCATTTTTTATATACATTAATTTTTTTTGAAATAATTTTTGAAATAATGACAATTTGTATTATAAATGTATATCAAAGAATATTACAGGATTTTTTATAAAGATTATTTTTAGTAATAAATATAATTAGTACTATATAACTAAATTAATATATTAACAACTATAAAACTATAATAATAAATATATAATAAACAATAAATAAATAGATAAATGTTATATATAAAAAAAATAAAAAATAAAGTAACACTATCAAGGTTAACTATCTATATACTATATTAGAAAATTTTCACTTACAAATATATACAGATATATTTGTAATTAATAAAAATTAAATATATACAAATATATTTGCAAATATATACAAATATATTTAATGTAATATATAAATTAATATGAATAAATGTGAATTAATATAGATTAATGTAAATTAATGTAATTTATGTAAGTGATCAAATATATTTAGATATATTTACCTCCAAAATTTTTTGATATAGTTAAATATGAATGAATTATTGTATCAATTAATAATTTCTATATTAAAAATCAGAATTCCTATATTATAAATTAGCTAAAAATTAGTAAAAATTAACTATCTTATTACATCCTATATTGTAAATTAGTTAAAATCAGAATTTCTTTTCAGTATGATATATCTTTTATATTTAACCTATATGTGTATAGTTAGAAGAGTCTTGAAATCTTTCAACACATATTTTTTGCCTGACTTCAAATTTTAATATTTTTATTTTTATAAAATATAAAATTAATATTTAAACTTTTATTTTTCAGTATTTTATATTTAAAATATTTTTTTTATATATATTTAATTGAAAATATTTATTAAAGTAATATATGAAAGTTTTTTATAAATTTCCATTTAATATTATTTTTATGACTAAACTTAATCTATTTATTTATAATTAAAGATCACTATTTATCATCAAATTTTTTCATCAGTATTTCAAATAATAGTTAAATATTAAAAGGTAATGTACATTATTACATGCGATTTTTTTTACTATCATTTTATTTTATTATTTTATTATTTTATTATAAAAAAAATTATATTTAACCAGAGGGAAATTAACCATTAAGTTGAATTAAGTTAATATTAATAAGGTTAGAGTCAGGGGATTAATTAGAAATTATGTAATTCTGCCTATAGTGAAATTTCTCCTTAATGAAAATTAATATCACTCTTTATTATATTATTATATTATTTTATTATATTATTTTATTTTATTATATTTTTTATTTTATTATATTATTTTATTTTATTATATTATTTTATTTATAGTATTAGTATATATATTATTAGTTTTATTTATTTATTATTTATTGTAATGTGAATTATGTAAATCAATAATGTAGATCATAATGGCCAATTTAGTAATTAACTAATTGATCAACTGATTGTTCAAATTAATGATCAACTAATTGATATACTTATTAATATAGATTATACATATTTCCAAAATTAATTTTAGATTTTTGAGATATTTCAACTTTTTGAGATTTATGCAGAATCTATTCTATATATGGAAATAAAAAAGTATCCAGTTATATGTATCTTTAATCAAAGAATAAATCTGAATAGTCAAAAAATTTTAAATTTTAAGTAAAATAATTTTGTCTTCTATAAAAAACTATTTTGACTTTTTTTTCTGAAATTGCAATTTCGGGACCTCAAAATAATTTTACGTGCAAGTATAATATAAATATTGACCTAGTTACTGATCAAATCTTTGGTCAAGTTTAATATTATAAAAAGTATAAGTTTTCCTCTTATTCTAAAGTATATTTGAACAGTTTTAAATAATAACATTTAAATAGTAATCTTATTTGTAATAAATTTTGACATTTTGACAATCCTAAAAAATAGAATTATTGATTTATTTTATAATAAATATATATCTTTTCACTTAAATTTTATTATTTTCTTATTAATTTATATTCTTCAAATATAAATTATTATTGATAAACTCTTGTTAATATTTTATAATTTCTTGATAATATTCTTAACTCTTAGTTTTTATTTCTTAAATTGTTTACTTAAATTCATTAGTTAATTTGAAATAAGTTAATCATTGATTATATAAATTCTAAGTTCTTTATTATTAACTTTATAATTAAATTATTCTTGTTTTTCAATTTTTGTTAAATTTATACTTAAAATTCGTAAACACATTTTTTCTTGTTTACAAGTTACTAGTTGTAACTTATCTTTTGAAAAATAAAATTAGTCCAAAAGATTAACTGGTAATAATGTTTTTGATTAAAAGTAAGATTTACAATTGTACTGTATCTGTTATTATGATATTTGTTATAGTTAATTTGTGAGATTACAGAAATTTATAGATAAAAAGTACTTGTGAGAAATCTTCTTGGGAATAATTTTCTTTATTAAAAGTACTTATAATTTTTTTTAAGATTAAAAAAAAATATTTAGGATCATCTTGTCAAATTTGATATTAATTTGATAAACTATTAAGCAATAAAATAAAGTTAATCAATTGAAGTGAAAAATAAAATGAATAAAGACAAAAGGAAAAAAGAACTATTGAAAAGAAACACTAGTCAAATACAAAAGAATTGCTGTACCAAATGGTAATTTCTATATTATAAATTAGCTAAAAATTAAAAAAAATCAACTATTCTATTCGGTTTCCGGACAGGCGATGATCGCCTATTCACGTGATCGAACCTGGCTTTAACGGTCCCTATTTATGTCAAAGGGTTTGTGTTACTTAAAATCAAATTACCTCGATTTTTATTATATTCACATATTATATATCACCCAGGGAATCCCCCGGGTTAAAATTAGCTTTACTCTATTATTATTATTATTTTGTAATATTATTTTTTGATATTGTTTTCGATAAAGTGCAGTTTTTATCAGTTTTGAAATTTAAAATAATGTAAGCTAAGCAAACTTTAGAAAAATTGAATACCTTTCTGCATCCCTTTATTTCTATTTAATATCCCTTTTTATATCTTTTGATATCTTCTATTTCTTTTTTTTAAACAATACAAGTAGTTTTGATTTACAATAATTAAAATATTTTCAGATTATTATAAGATTATTTAATACATTATTTAAATATTTTACAATTGTTTAATTGTTTAAAGAACAATCGTATTAATTTTCTGTAAACAATCATTTCTGCACCAAATCAACTTAAAAACGTACAAATATGCGATTGAATTTTTCACGTTCCATGTCAAAAGAAGCCTGACAAATTTGGTTCTCTATGGGATTAATAAACAAACACGCATCGTCTCTAATCTTTTATATCCTATACTTTGATTCACAAAGTTTGCGGGTAAAAATTCAAATCCAATATTTACTTTATAGTTCAAGCTCTTTGCTTTTACATAATACATATAATTTAACTAGATTCTTCTTTGATTTTATTTTGCACAATTAATAATTAAAATGATAAATATATTAATGCGGTACTAGCAGTTCCTCTTATAATTTAGCTTGACTGGCTGTAGTAGATTTGCAACCCGACAACTCGTCTAGATGCGGTTAAGGTCTAATGTTCTGTTCTGTTAACACGGACTAAATTACTATTATTTAATATATATATATATATTTCTGAGGAGAATTTTATTATATTATCCGTGCCGACTGTAAGTTCTTCATAAATTGAGTAATTTACTCACACGCCTATTATAATAAGTTAATAAGAATACAATGAATATAAAAATATTTATATTGTATTTTTTCAAATAAATAGATCATTGTTACAAATAATCCTTCCCTTATCCACATTTCCTTTTTCTCCGACAAATTTATCCACTTTCCTTATCGTCCATTTCTCATCCTCAAAAAAAAAATTCATTGATTATGGGAAACTATCATTCCGCTTCAAATAATAGGAAAAACGTCAATCGTAAAAAGATACATCCCCCAGTTGTTAAACCTGTCAATTTGATTAATGAGCAAAACCGTAATTCAAAATATATTTTGCCAGATTTTACCGAAATAAGTAGATTGCAAATGCAACATTATCTATTTCGTCATGTATTTGACGGTAATTATTCAGCACCAGGAGTAGATGAAATTTTGAAAACTGGTGGTAAGATTCTCGATGTTGGGTAAATAAATTTTTTTAAAGTAAAATTTCATATTACAAAATAATTAATTTAACATAAAAGATTTTATACTTATTATTTTTTTTTTTTGAAAATAAAGGTGCGGACCTGGCACGTGGATTTTAGAGCTCGCAAGTGAGTATTCTCGAGCGGAATTTTATGGAGTTGATATTATACCAATGTATCCTTCGGTAATATATAATATAGAATATAAAATCTTATTTTATCAATATTTTATAAATAAAATATTTTTTAATGAGAGATATTATTTAATTTAAATAACTATTCCTTATCATTATAATAATTTAGGAGATAAAACCACGTAATACCACATTCATAAGAGCAAACATTTTGGATGGGTTACCATTCGAGAATTGTACTTTTGATTATGTACATATTGGTTTTCTTGGAACTTCATTTACAGAGGAAGAATGGAAAACAATAGTGGTAAGATAAATCGTTGAATTAATGAATTAAATTAATTAAATTAAATTAATTAAATTAAATTAATTGAAAATTTTATTTATTAATATTGAAAATTTTATTTGTTAATCTTGAAAATTTCATGTAGATACCTGAAATCATTAGAGTAACAAAACCAAATTGTTGGATTGAACTTTACGAGGCTGATGGATTTGCTCTTAACTGCGGTCCTTGTTATAGACAAATTATAAATTGCATACAAGAAGAACTTGCAAAAAAGGATATCGATGCTAAAGTTGCCACAAAATTCAAAGATTGGCTTTTACTGGAAAGTAATTTAGAAAACATTCACGAAGAAATAAGGAAACAGCCAGTCGGACAATTTGGTGGAAGATTAGCATCATTAATGGAAGAGAATAATGATTGTTTCTTCCAAACTATGGATACAAGTCTCATTGTTAACTTAGGAATAAATTCGAAAGAATTCGAAGAGATGTTACAAACCATTCATGATGAATATAACAAATACAAAACATACATAAATTTCCATCGCATCTATGCTCAAAAATTTATTTGATGAAGTATATTTGTTTTAACTGAAGAAATGAGATCAGATTAAACAGAATTAAAATTAAGGTTTAAGTAAGTACTCATTAAAAATTTTGATTTATTTTAAGAGTGTGAAAGGGTATAAATTTTTAAAAAACTTTTCACACGAAAAATTAAGGTTTTTTTTTCATTCTTGATTATAAGATTTATTATAAAAATATTGCGGAATTTCTATAATTTATTGAGGGATGTCCTTAAAATAGACCCCGGTTTAGACTTTTATCCTAGACACCCTATATAAATAAAGTAGCTAACATGTGATAAATACAATTGTGACTAAGGTTAACCCTAGGTTTAGAATAAATTTACCCTTTATTGAGGGCGTATTATCACATGATTCGATTTTACAATCATAGCAGTAAAAGATTATGAATTTAAAAATTATTTTATTTTAATTATTTATAAATTGTATTAGGAGAATTATTGAAAATAAATTGTCTACTAGTTGTATTGCTCTTAATTTTCATTTCTTTGCCACTCTTAAAATTTTTGTTAATGGCATTTTAAAATATCAGAAATTATTAGAAATCCTTTTTTCAATATAGTTTACTACTTTTAGCAAATTCTCAACTTTAATAGGTATAACTAAATACATGTAACTTCAACCCAATAAAACTTGATTATGCTAAATCAGATCAAAATTCTAACCGATGATTCTGATTCTGATCTGAGCTATCGATTTCTACGGTTAAAAATTTTATTTCTATATTTGTAAATAGAGTTTTAATGCCATAACCAAATTCTTAATTAGAGATCCCGTACTATAGCAATGCTTTTATTAAAATAAAGTTCGGGTGAACTTTATATTTAAAATTAAATTCATTGAAAACTATTATTCTTGATTGTTTGTTTTATAAGTGAAAATATTTCAGAATGACAGTGTTCTTTATTTTATTTTTAGAAAATCCATTTATTAATTGGGAATTCTAGAAATGCAAAAAAAAAAATGATCATCGAAGTTGTACTCTGCAAATCAGTAAATCAAGTAAAATCTAGATTAAGATCGTAGTTTTTTAATATGTTATGTAAAATTACTTTAACGCTCATTTGTGCACAGATCTGTTATTTAAAAAAATCTATTACTAAAATAGTAATAAATTCTTTATTTTATTTACACATGCGGATGCACAATAAAAACAAATAGAATAACCAAATAAATTGTAAAATTGCTTTATTATGTAATGAGTTGTGTTCAAACATTTTGCTTAAAATAAATTTGCGTTATTAATTTGTATTTCATTATTTTTTTATCATTTCGGATCATGTCGGTAAATCCCTTTAAATTCCTTCCATGGTATTTGATCCGCAATTGTTATTTTCGAGATTTTCAAGAAAACGAAATTAGTAAATGTTAATTTAAAAAACTCAAAGATAATGTCATTCTAATGTAAACAGTAAACAAGATTTCTAAGACTCAATTCGGATTTTCGGTATTTTTAATGCTGTACTTGCTATTATTTTTAGATACAGTAAATAATAGTTGTTTTCTCTATAAAATCTCTTAAGTATAAAAATAATATTTGTTTCTTTCTTTCTCTTAGATTTTCTAGAATGAATAATGAATGAATAACGAATGAATAAAACTCAAGGCATTAAAAATATTACTATTATCGGATCTTGAATTTACATATTTACATATTTGTTTCTATTTTTTTTTTGTTTTATAAAAAATACATTATATTTTATATTTGTACAACTTAATTAAAGATCGGGATCTGCAAACGTATATATATAAATATATGAATATTTTATCCAAGTACCCACAATAAATTAATTAAATAAATAAATTATATAGATCAAGTTTTTTTAGAAAATTTCAAATTTTCAAATTTTCCTTTAAGCGTTATAAAATTATTTTAAATTCTTTTTATTCGCGTTATTTTTTTTTTTTTTTTTTTCGTAAAGATTTGATAAAGTTCAAAATCTAAAAAAAAAAAATAACTGCAAAATATGACTTCTCTTCCTCCTATCAAATTTCTTTTGGATCCACCCAACAATAATATCGATAATGATAGTGGTAAATAATTTTTTTTTTTTTTAGAATTTTTTTAAGGCATTTTATATTCCATTAAATTTAATTAAGTCTAAATAAATTTAAATAAATTTTAAATAAATTAAATTAAATTTAATTAAAATTTATTAGGTAACTTGAGATATCCAATTCCACGAACGCCATCTTCTTTTATGTCACCAGATAATACTTATTATCGAAATCTTCCATCTACAAAATCAACGGATGCAGAACATCTCGCTGCAATTAATGCCCATAATAAGCTAAATATGAACTTACCTATTTCAAATAATAATAATATACATAAAGCTTTGATTTCGCCTCCAGAATCACCTAACATATATCGACAACAATCATTTGATACTACTCCAAGACAGTATCAAAATAGTCTTCCTTCGTTACCTTCACAACTAGTTTCTGGAGATCAACTATGCAGAAGTTGTGCATATAATAACCATCCTTCATTTGGGAATTATCAATATTCTGTTAATAGACCAATTGAACCAAATAATTTCGTTCAAACACCCTATTATCCCATTCCAAATGATAGTCATTCATCAATGTTTTCGTATCCTCTTCCACGTTTAAATATGGCTTTATTAACAAATATGACTCCGGATAGATATTATTCTTCTCAGGATTTTTATGGTCAAACTTTTAATGATTCTTCAAGTGGAAATCGTTATCAATGTCCCTTTTGTGCAAAAAGATTTTCGCGTCCAAGTTCTCTTCGAATCCATACATATTCGCATACAGGTGAAAAGCCTTTTGTTTGTACTGAACCGGGATGTGGAAGAAAATTCTCTGTACAAAGTAACATGCGAAGACACTTGAGAGTTCATCTTTTGGGAAGACCTATCAGAAGAAATAGGCACGGAGTTAAATGTTAAAAATAATTTAAAAAAATTATTTGAATTCGGGAAATTTTCCTACAAATGGTTATATATAGTTATAAATAGTTATAAATATTTATAAATGCTTATGAATGCTTACTAATTACCTATTCATAAAAAAGAAATTTTTTTTTCCTCGTTCTTGTACATAATACAATCCGTAGACAATATGTGAATATGTGACAAGCATTTTAATTATAGAATATTACATAATCAATTTCCTTTTTTTTTTTTCTGTTTCACCTATGCTTATATGAATCTCATTATGCATTAATAATAGAATTTTCAGTTTAATTATGATTAAGAATTAAGGATTAAAAAAAATTTTTTTTTTTATTATTATTGAAATCTTATCTTTTCGGATCAATTAAAGACAAAATAAAATTTTGCCGAAAGAATTGTCTTAAATTTTTTCCTGAAATTATTCTTGTTATTCATGTATGTTGAGATCCCTTCTCAACTCTAGAAATCAAAAATTCAAATCCGAATGCAGGTTTATTTACCTCATATAATATTTCCTTTTTTACAAATAGTTTTTCCAAAACCCTTAAAACGATGAAGAATAAACTTGATCTGTTAGATACGCGTATAATACGCGATTGTTTACATTTGGTTAAATTTAGGTAACGTGATAATGCAAGCATTATATAATTAATAATAAGATAAACTATTTTTAGAGTATAACAACTTTATTTTTTTCCTTTTGAACTTTCTTTTCTCATGTATGAACAATCGGATTTGTCTTCCGAAAGATATTTTCGCATAAACCTTTTTTATAGTCTAACCTTTTTTAGATAGGACAGTTAATTTTTTTATTCTTAATTTTAATAAAATTTCATGGATAAATTTTAAACTTGAATATAATATATTTATTAGATAAATTCTTCATACATATAAAAAGAAATAAAAAAGTAGATTCGTATTTATCTGTATTACTTTTGAAATTATAGTTCATTACTGTACTGTAGTATTACTAAAACTTTAAAGTGTAATCAAAGTTATCAATCAATCGATGCATATATTATAAAATTATAATAAAACAATTATATTTACATAACAGATAATGAAAAATTTTTTTTTAATTAAAGAAGGTTCTTATTTTATTTATATTTGTCAGATTTATTTTCTCACTATCCACCTTTCGTATATTTGTACTATCATATGAAATAATAATTCGAATCACTCTTAGATCCGATCCTTTCCTTAAAAAATTCATTATTTATCATCATAAAATACATGTACAACATGACATGAAAAATGAAATCGAGATAGCTTTTTTACTATATATAGTATGATTTTATTTAAACTTTTGGGGAATATTTTAAAATTATGTAACAGGTTCACTTGATTTTAAAATTTATGGGGATATTTAAAATTTTATGTAACAGATTCAAATTTATGTAACAGATGATTCAAATTTATGTAACAGGTTCAAATTTATGTAACAGGTTCACTTTGGTTATACATTTTTATAAATTTTATTTCTTATATAATTAATGAATCTAATTGAAAACAAAATTAAAGAATTTATATTTACAAATATAGAATAATCTCAGGATTATTATCATTATTATTGAATTATTATTAAATTATTATTAGACAAATTAAATTATTAAAACATTCATGAAAATTTATTATCATTTTTATCAAATTAATGATTCTCTTGATTCTCTTGATTCTCTTGATTCATGACTTCTATTTGATGACAAAGACAATGGTCTTCCTAGTTCATTTGTTCTTTCAGGTGGTGAAGGAAATGCATCTTCAATTCTTACTTTAAAATCAATTGGACTTTTTACTGGTATTTCTGGTTCCGTTCTATATAGATTAGTAATTTCAGTATAGTAATTATCGTTAAGATCTACATTTTCCCATTCGTTATCCATGTGATTTTCATTGTTTTCATTGTTTTCATTAGGCGGCGGAGGTGTAAGAGAAAATCGCATTGGAGAACCATTCTTCAAATTTATTGACATAGTAGATAATCTATTTAATTGTGTAGTTGGAGAATCTAAACTATCTTCAAAATCAATAATTGTCTGATTCTGAGGTTCTGGGAATTTTGATGATTTTGGTAATTCCCGCATAATATTTCGACTAGTTTTATTTTCATTTCCATTATGTGGTTTAGAACGTTTGCTACAATATTTTTTACAAAAAAAATATGTTATAAGTCCGAAAACTACTAAAAATATCAAAATTGAAGTCCCAATTGCAATTGGTGATATATTTTTCAAAAGATTGTTTGAACTAGATGTTTCTGGAGTAATAGAAGTTGTAGCATTAACAGTGTTACTATTTGTTGGTTTATTAGTGTTTATATTTAAAGTATTACTAGAAGTAATTGTATATGAAAGAGAATTAGGTGGTGTTGTTAGAACATTAGAAACACTTGATTGTTGTGATGTCGATAGAAATGGAAGATTCGCTGACGATATAAATGGTATAGATGTTATTGGAGAAGTAAGAGGGATTGGAGGTGTAGGAGAGGTTGGAAGTGTGAGAGGGATTGGAGGTGTGGGAAGAGTTGGAGGAGTAGGAAGAGTTGGAGGAATAGGAGGAGTTAGAGTCTGTGGTATTGACAAAGTTTGCAGGGATGGAAAAGGGATAAGTTGTGAAGTGATCATGTCATCTGTAATGCTTCCATTTTGGCGTTTTATTGCTTTCCGTTTTTTCCAACTATTTTCTTTACCTTGTTGAGAACCATCCCACAAATTTCTTTCCCATTTAACATACACAATTTTAATCTTTCGAATTATTTTAAAATTTTGTTTTGCATGGCCTGCCATAATTATTTAAAACTTTTAATTTTTTTTAGCAGGCTATAAAAATGTCAGGGAATGTAAAGAACTATCCCAATGGAGCATTCAAAAGGTAAAAATAAAAATTTAGTAAATCAAAAAAAAAAATTTCACATAAGGGTTCCCTTTATGTACTTGGAATATACGCGTTGATACATAATGAAAATTTATAGAAACCCATGAAAAGAATCTAGTGTAATATAAAATATGCAAATATTTAATTCATTCTTATAACTTCCATTAAAGATTGCATTGTTTTCCGCGAGAAGAAGATTTTTTTTAAAAAACAATTACTCAAAATTTACTTGGAATATACTCTTAACCACTAGATTTTTTCGGCAATCAATAAGTTAATTATCAATTTAATATGCATAAAAAATTAATTTCGATTATTTATGGAAAACAAAGTTAAAATTATATTACTTATATTGTTTTCGCATATCATTTGTATCTTTAAATAGGAAATTAAAATTTTCATCATTGTTCTACGAATTTAGGAAACGGCGAATAGTTCACACGTGATATAGAATACCCTATTATAGATTTTCTAAAAATAAAACAATTTACGAAGTGCAGAAAAATTTTATTTTTACATTATTAACATTGGAGCAATGCTCACTAGTTTATAACTTCAAAATTTAAAGATTATTTTGGTGATTTAATGTTCTGAGATATATCATTTTTTGGTAGCGTCAAGTAATGTTAAAAGTTTTAGAAAAAAATTGTTAGTAAAATATTAGGTCATAAAAATAATTTCCTTTTTTTTTTAATAACAATTATTCTAAATATTTTTTGAGTTTATCATTTTTAATATCGAAAAACAATCTTTGATTATGAGATATAATATTCAAAGGACAATAATTCAATAAATATAAAGTAAACAGTTACAAAACTTTAGAAACTTTGTAATTTGAAAGTCAAAGAAGGTTCATTAAAGGTTAAAAAAGTTAGCAAAAATGAGAAATTTTAGTGCAGTACTTTCTTATCCAATAATGTCATACATTCCTAAATTAATATCTTTGGAAATTCGAAGATTAAAAAAATTTTGTGCTATATTATAAATAATAATAAATGAATCCATTTTGTAGAATTTAGATTAAATAATCAAGTGTTAATTATTTATCACGTTTTTTTATATTACATATTATGTAAGAGATGCCAAATGATTATAATGACGAAACAATGACGAATCATTTAATTTTTCTAAATTAAGTCCAATTGTTTTATTTTCTAAGAATAAATAAGGCGGTCTCACTCGAGGTATTTCTATTTTTGGAAATTTAATGTAAAAAAATTTATTTAATGCACATTAATATAAATATACCCTCAAAAGTTTTTTTTTAAACAAATTTTTTTTTTTTGAACATAAGTCGATTCCATCATGAAAAACCTTCCTTACAGACAAAAATCTTTGTGGGAAACTTTGAATAACCATCATGGATGGGGTTGGCCAGACGTTTTTCATTTCAGAAGTTCCGTATGTAGCAGAATGATAAGATTTATAAAAATTTGTGGGATAATTATTAAAAAATATTAAATTTCAAAAACTTTTTCAGGTTTTTTTAACTGTATTTCCGGTAGTCTTTACTTCTACCTTACTTTCTACAATATTATGTGTTTTGTATCTTATATACGATGTTGATGTAACATTGCCTGCAAGTTTGGGTAAGATTGTAATTGACATAAATAAATTTATCTTTGACAAAAACATTAATTAAATGATAATTATTTAATGTTAAAAAAAGTCGGCACTATAACAGTTGTGGTCGGTCTTCTTTTGGCTTTCCGCACGAATCATGCTTACGATAGATATTACGAAGGCCGAAAATTATTTAGTACTATGTGGTATGTGATCTATGCAGCTAATATTTATTTTAAGTCGAAATTAATTTTAATATCATAGATTCAATTTTTTCTATCAAAAATTAGTACTCATGTTAGAAATGCAGCACGTCTTACTTGGGTTGGTGTTGAGGAAAGGTATATAAAACTAATTATATATATAATTATAAATAATGATCCTCATTTTACTTTTTATGTTAACAAAGTAATTAAATTTAATTGATATAGAAATCGAGAAGATCACGAAGATAAAATAAATGCCATAAAACTTTTGTTGGCTTTTGTTATTGCGACAAAACATCATCTTCGAACTGAATTTGGTACCGATTATGAAGATCTTAAAGACCTTTTACCTGATGGCTTACAAAAAACCAAATTCGGGGGTAATGCTGGACAGGATGTTGATAGCGAAGAACACGAAGAACAACATCGTCAAGATTATAGTGAAGATTCCATAGTAACTGTCATTGCCGACAATGAGAATACAGCGCTCCTTCAAAATTGTGAAAGTCCAAAAAAATATGTTAATAATAATTATGATAATTTATACACTAAAAAATTACCAAATTTCCGTGCATCTGGTAGTTCTGCTATTTCGGAAAATAGATTGATGGATTGGGGGGGTAAAATTAATCCCACAATGAGTCTTCCCTTGGAAATTACTTATTATTTGGTAAATATTAATGAGAATATTGGAAAATGTTGGAAATATTAGAAAATATCGGAATATTAAAATTTATTAAAAATATCAAACCAATTTATTTTATAAGGGATTATATTTCAATCGAAAACAATTTGACGCCATTAATAACATTTTGTCTTCTTTAATCGAAATCCTTGGATGTCTCGAAAGAATTGGAAACACTCCTATACCAAACGCGTATAGATATCACTTGTTTGTAGAATTTTTTTTTTTTTTTTTAAAAAATAATATTATTTTGCAGATTTTGTTATTTATGTTATCTGATTTTTCAATAAATAACATTTTTTTTTGTTATTTAGAAAACAAGCTGTATCAATATATGTTTGGATGCTTCCATTCACCATGATTGAATCACTTGGCTGGTTGACTATCCCTGTTATCGCGGTTATTTCTTTTGTGCTATTTGGTGTCGAAGCGATTGGTGCTGAAATTGAAAACCCATTTGGTACGTATAATTTACATATATATATATATATTTATATATATTTATAGTTCTCAATTATTTTAACGAATAATAATTTTAATTTTCTTAAATTCTAGGTTATGATGCGAATGACTTACCCTTGGATGAATATTGCAAGGTAAGCATTTTTATTTTTTATTTTTTTTTATAAAAATATTTTTTAAATCATTATTGCTTTTTATATTTCTAGGATTTGGAATCCGAGATCAAATATATGCAACAACATCTTAGCCCAAAGAAATTTCATGCAAATGATGTCTAATTGATTTATTTATTAATTAATTTACTTTGTGCACGCATGAATAGATTATATTTTTTTATTTACAATAATAGATGATAATAAACATTTGTATTCTTTATTAAATTAGAGAATATTGATATTTTAACTGAAGCATATAAAAATAATATCAAATAGATCGAAAAATGATAATTAGGATTACTGAAAGATCGGGTGATGAACAAAAGCATCGCGTGTAAGAAAAAATAAAAAATTCATCTTCTATTAATAAAGTAAATGCAGTTATTAATCTCACTAGCTTTACTTGAAAGCTCCTTCTATACAAACAAAAATGAACAGCGGATCAACCATTTAATGGTTATCTTTATGGTATTTTTTCCACTGGGTTATATTGGACAAGTTAATCAGAATACCAAATTGATCTCACGAAAAAGGCGATTAGAGAGAACCAGAAAATTTACGGGATAATATAAAACAATTAATTGGGGTTATTTAAAGATTGAGTAACGGCATGTGTTAAACCTGAAAACAAAAGGCGGTGTGTTCAAGAAAAAATAACAAAATAGCTGCGAGAAGCAATGCTTCTGTAATAGCAGAAATAGTTATCATTTCACTTTCATGTAATTTTTATGACATGTACATGGCACTTGTGTATCTAATATATATATATATATATATATATATAATTACAACTGATCACGTCCATTTCATTATTTACAAATTATTATACCCTGATGTAAACTCTGATTTCAAATTTTTAAAATTACTAATACTGTATCATATTGATTTTCCCAGTTTAAATCCTTTTTTGCCTTTTTATGATCGGGTTCAAGAGAGAGTCATCATCAATAACGAGCTTATGTTACGAAAATCATTATAATTTTCGTTTATTTGGTTATAACCACCAAGAATTACAGAATCTTAAAATATTTATATCGACAAATCCAACACATAATCGCAAATATGTCAAAATTAAAAAAAAAAAAGAAATCAAACCTTTACTGTTTCGATCTTTTCCTTTAGCGATTTGCGTCTGGTTGATTTTTTGGTAAGCTTCTGACAACCAATCCTTCTTTCTTTTCGTTTGTTCTGTTGAGACTAAGTAATATAATTAATCAATGAGAAAGAAATATATTTTCAAAAAAGTTTATTCAAATATGAAACAGCCCAGAAGGTTGTTCTTTAGAAAAATGTGGGAGCCCTACGTCTAACAAAATATATCTTGTGTATGAATACGCACATTGTGCTTCTCCCCTAAAGTGCAACCAAATTAAAAATTCCTTAGAAATAGTCTATTTGACCTCAAATCTGAAATATGTGAATATATCACGTCTAACCCATGTAGATAATTGATTCACTGACTGCTTCACTTTAATAGTTGATATTAGATAAATGGACAGATTACCAATAATTATTGTAAGATTCTAATCTCTATTTTAAATGAGTATCCGGCTTTTTTTCATTAATATTACAGACTTTGCGTAAATGGTCTGCAAACTTGCTAAGACGTAGGGGCGGCGATTCTGGATGTCGCCATAATGTGAAAGTGAAATTATAAGCAAGAAATATTTTAATAACAAATGATTCTTTACCATAATATCGAAGCTGAGATCCAAAATACATTTATGCAATCCCAAAATTAATTTGGGAAAAAGGAAGACAAAATTATTTTACTTAAAACCTGAAATTTTTTTGATCACCGATAAATTCTTAATTAAAAATACGATACTTTTTTTACTTCCATATATAGAATAGATTCTGAATAAATCTCAAGACGAAAATATCCCAAAAATTCAAAATCAATTTTGGGAACATGTATGTCGAGCAGACCATATTGAATTAAATTGACATAGAGCAGCATTTTGTAATAATGAATTATTGATTTGAATTCCATTATGAAAATTAATAATAACTTGTAAATATATAAAAATCTATTTTAAGATTATTAAAAAATAGGGTAAATCTATTTGTCACCAGTGGTGATTGTCACCACTGGGCAAAATTACATAATTCCTGATCCTAGCCCTAACCTTAACTTTGTTAATTTTGCCCAACGGTGACTATCACCAGCGGTGACAAGTATATTTTTTTTAAAAAATAATTCAATTAATATTATCTATTCAAATTTTAATTTATAAATATAATTATTATTTTTCACTTAACCTGAATCAAACAGGGATCTCCTAGCTACTTTTTTCATTATTTCATCTCATATTAGGTGTTTTCTCTAGAGTAATTCGCATACTATAATCATATGAACCCACTGTCACCTGACTCCCTCCAGTTAAGGAGTTTATAGCCTTTCCTGAAGGTAAGATTGTTACTTGGTTGTTTTAGAAGGCACCATTGATCCAATTATTTTAGAAAAGGAATCAGACCTTTTACTGAATAGTAAACAAAATAAAACAGAATCTATATATTGTCTAAAATAAAAAGAATTTATATGTAAAAGAATATTGAAAATAAGTATCGAAAATAAGTATCAAAAAATGTATTAGAACAAATTTATCAAATTAAGTATTATTATTGAGCTATTCTTCTGTTTTATCACTATAAATGTCTTTGGAATTGCTTATTTAATAATTTTTTTTGGAAAAATCGAAACCCTACCCTAAATAAAGAAAAGAAAAGTTTGGTGTAGTAGATACTAGATATAGGATCTTTTTGCCTTGGGCAGAAAGTCAATTTCCAGAGTTTAGTTTATGTTTTATCAAAGAATATACCTAATCTAAAATGATTCAGGGTAATCGAATTATATAATTGTTTATTAAATTGTCAAGTTACTGGGCTTGGAATGAAAATAAATTGATTTATGACCAACATTATTGAGTTTTAAATTAAAAAAAGTTACGTATCTAGATGAAAAAAATAAGAGTGAAGTGAATAAAGTGATTTATTAATTAACTCAATAAAAAATTTTAAAAAAATTTTACAGTAAATAAAAAAAAACAATAAATATAAATAAAAAAACAAAGCGAAATAAACAATATTATTTTACAAGGAAAATGCAGATTGATTAATAAAGATAGCAGAAAATATGATTAATAGTAGAGAGAATGATACGTTTTTCTTTCTTTCTAAAATAAAAGATTAATTATTGGTAAAATAGATGTTATCTTGGTTAGAAAATATTTAAATTTAAAAATAGCGGGATTTTTATGGTTAATGAAATATGAAATATGCATAATATGCATTTTTAATTAACGTGTAAAATGAAAGAGCAAAAAATTTAACTTTACTAAACAAAGTAAATTAAAGCCCATTAAAAGTCAATGCATAAAAATACAGTTAGATAATTATTATTATTATTATTTTTTTTCGATCTAAGATTTTTGGAAAGCTCGTAATTCATCAATATGAAAAGATTCATATTTGATACCAAATACGTAAGCTTTACCGATAATCTCAATTACATCTTTGACTTGTTCAAATAAATTGTCATTTCGCCATCCATCAACGATTCCTAATTTTTTTAATCCTCCAATTTCAGTTGCATATTCAATGATCACGTCCATTAATTCCAGATCCATCTCATTATATATGTCTAATTTTTCGAGAGGATTTTTTATATTACGAAGAATTTTACCTAATTTATTTGGAAGGTCAAAAATTGATCTTTTGCACGGAGGAATACCAAAATAAATTGCTAAATACTTTAAGTTTGGTGGAAAAGATTTAGCTAATTTTTCTAAAGTTTCATTTGATGGAAGAATTGGATCAATATAACCAATGGAACCTTCTATATGCGCGAATACTAAATGTAAATAATCAAGAGAAGTTAATAAAGGAAGGTTTTCACAAAGAGAAGGAAATTCATCAAAGGTAACAGTTAAAGATAAAAATGTAATTTGTGGACAAAAATGACCTATATTATTAATAATTTTAGAATCAGAATATTGTAACATAATAGTGTTTAAATGTTGATTTGCTAATTGAATAAGTGTTTGAATCATTAAAGTGTAATCTGAAATTTTTGGAAATGAAATATTGTATGCTTTTAAATGTTTGATATAAATTGATGGTAAATGATTAATTGAATCATACATTTGTTGAGCATTTACAATACTAAAATGTTCTGTTAAGAATAATGTTTCTAAATTAGAGCAATTTCCCAAAAGATGTATTAATGCTTGTAAATTTCTAAATTCCGATAATTCTAAAGTTGTCAATGATTTTGCTTGAGTTTGAATTGCTTTATATACTAAAGGAGTCGCTGTGTCATCCCATCTTTCTGCTAATCTTAAAGAATTAAGATTTTTTTGTATGGATATTAAATGTGAAATTGCTTGATAAAATAAATCATCAATTATATAATGAGTATCAACAATTATTTGTTTAATGTTTATTGCGTATCGAGTGATTATATAGATTTCTAAAGAAAATTCTATATCTTGAGAATGTTTAGTTTTAATCTTTAATTCTCTAAGATGACTTAATCTATTTTCTATTCCATAATAAGAAGAAATGTTCATGAGATTTTCGATGTTTGATCGTTCAACCGAATTTTGGGAGGAATAATCTATGTCATAATTTAAAGTAAGAAATTTTATGCCGCGCGAAACACTAACTATATAATTTCCAATTATATTTCCCATGAAACCAATAAAATATTTTATAGGTTGTTTATTAGTTTTATTAGGTTTATTATAAACATTTAACCATTTATATATGGCCATTTGAAAGTGTCCAGTATCAAACCCTTGAATATAATTTGTGTATTCAAATAAAGGTTTGGACAAATCTGAAGGGATTTTAATGCCTTCTTTTATTAAAGATCGTTTAACTTCTTTGGAGAGAGAAGATACTAATACTGAGATAATGGTGTATGATTTATGATTAGTCGGTTTAGTTTTGAAAGGATGAAACCATAGTAAAGGGATAGATAATTTACAAAAGAGGCGAGTTGAAAGAATACATGAATAAAGGGTATTTTGATCATCTATAAGATAACCTAAAATTTCTTCAAGACAATCTAAAGGTAAAGAAGGAAAGACAGTCATTATTTTGGTTGAAGATATTGTTAAAGATATTTTTGCGTTAAAGATATACAAGGAATAAGTTGAATATCAAATAAAAACTTAAAAATCTCTATTTAAAGTAATACTTAATTCATGGGATCTTGATTCAAACTTGCTGATTTTGGCTTTTACTGGAACCGTTTGAAAATAATTACCAAAAATGTAGAGTAAGATAAAACGTGTACTCAAGTGAAGGATGAATCAGGATTATGGATTTAAGCCACAAATATAACTTGTGTAAGGATATGAAATTATTTTGTGGCTTTATCAAAATATTTAACAAGTTTAAAGGTCATTTGCACATTTGTTGTTAAATGTTTATAAATGTTTGTAAATGGCTGAAAGATGGAGGCTTAAAATGCTAAAATGGCTCCTTCGGTATATATCGAATTGACCGATGCAAATCGCAAATTAACGAAATACTGGTGACAATTTTATATGGCTGACATTTTATATTACGAAAATTGAGTAACCGAATATTTACAAAATCTCATATTAATATCAAATGCCAAAATAATTAATTTATTTTCAATGAAGAGATTCAAATGTGTCACTATATTTGAAAAGAAATATCTTTTTAATTGATAAAATGAGATTTTATTCTTCATTGAATTTTATTTATTTGACAAAACTACGAAATAATATAATGATTTAATAATGAAAATAATATAAAACAATCTCATTAAAAAATGGTAATTACCATTCATTAATTGCAATTCAATTCAATGGAAGAAATCCGTGAATGACAAGATGATGATTATTATAAATTTCTCATGAATTTTCCGAATATATAAATATAAATAGCTTAGTATTAAATGTGGTGGATAAGAAAATTGTGACGAAATGCATTTACTGACATTACTAGAAAAAGAAGAAATTATGTAGTACAATTGTGACATATATTTGGTTTCCTAATTTTATTAATTTTATTACATTTCTTTCTCTTTGTATCGATATAAAATATAAAAAATATAATGGTAATTAAAATTCAATCGGAAATAAATGAAATAAATCTTTTTTAATTCTAGAAAGAACTATAGTACAATTTTAATTTCTAGCATGGAGTTAAACGCGTAAAACCTTCAGCTGAAGTAGAAAAACTTAGAAAAGAGCGAGAAGCAATAAAAATCAAAGAATACAATAATTTGGTGGCATCATGTTTTGCAAAGGTAAATTATTTAATTATTATTTATAGTTGATGAGATATTTCTTTTTTTATAACCACATTTGTCATATTTGCAAATTATGTATGAAAAATGATAGAAAACTAATTCTGAATATGACGAAGGTGCATTTGACATTACTACAAAAATTTTGTCTCAAAATCCTGATTTTTACACTGTTTGGAATTTTAGGAGATTGATTCTTTTGAATGGAATATTTAAAGATTAGTTAGTTTTAATTTAATGTCTAATTATTAAAACAAAATGAATATTTAAATAAAAAATTGCTCAAGAATTTGATCAAATTTTATAAATTTTATCAAAATTAATTTTTTTTTTAAAAAAAAAAAAGTTCATTTGAAGAAAAACAAGAAAGAATAGGTTCCGAACTTTTATTTCTTCAAGATATTTTTAAATTAAATCCAAAGTCCTATTGGATATTTAATCATAGACGTTGGTGTTTGGAAACCATACCTGATCCTGATTGGAATAATGAACTTGTACTTGTTGATAAAATGTTGGATATGGATCCTAGAAATTGTAAGTATTTTTTTTTTTTTAAAAAAAAATATTCTTATATATTAAATAATCAAATAATTAATTGAAATAATAAATTTTTTAAATAAAAAAAGTTCACGGATGGGATTATCGTCGCTACGTAATATCTAAACTTACTAGATATGGAAATTTAAAAGACCTCATACAAAATGAATTTGATTTTACAACCACAAAGATCAATCAAAATTTCTCTAATTATTCTGCTTGGCATCAAAGAAGCAAATTGTTACCGAAATTAATTAAAGTGAAAAATTTAAATGATCAAGAAATAAAAGAAATAATTAATCGAGGTTAAATTCTTTGTGTTTTTAGTGTTTTTAATACTTTGAATGTTTTCCATTTTTTTCTTTTGAATAAAAAAATATTTATAATATAAATAACTAATTATTTTTTATACTTTAGAATTTGAACTTGTTAAGTCAGCCTTTTATACCGATCCCGATGATCAAAGTTCTTGGCTTTATCATCGGTGGTTAATAGGTCGAGGTAAGTCTTTATAATAAAATTTATTTATTTAAAATTTATTAATTTCTTTATTCATTATACGTATTTATAAAAATCATAGAAATTCGACACATTTCTATTCTTGGTGCTTATTTCAATCGAAAGAGATGCCAAATCATTTTGGTTTTTGATGATGAAATTGGAATTTTGTCTCCTTTTCAAGTATTTTGTAAAAGCGAAAAATCATCCACTATAAATAAAATTAATGGAGATTGGCAGTCTCTTGGTGTTGTGGAAGGAGGAGAAGTTAATATTGGGGGTAAAATGTATGGGTTTGTTTGGATATTTACATTTTCAAATAAAGATATAGAAATTGAAGATTTCACGGAATTGTTTTTCACTGTGAAACCAGAATGGATAGTTTCATCAAATTCTGAAACAATATTAAATAAAATTATTCAAAGAGGTTGTACTATTAAGAAATCAGAAAATGAGAAAGGTATTTTTAATTGTATTGTATAATTTTTTCCTTCTTCGTTCAATTTTAAAAAAATTGTTGTTAATTCTGAAGGATATTATTTTTAGATATTCTAATATCGATGGCATCAAAGACTGTTATTGAAGATGTATTTGAACAAACAGTCACTATTTCTTCAGATTTAATTCATTTTGAATCTCAAGAAACATTGCCAATCGATAAATCTGAGAGAATAATTCTTTTGCAACGTGAGATTTCCACAATAAGAGAATTATTGGAATTAGAACCGGATAGTAAATGTATGTAAATGAAAGAATTTATTAAGAATTTTAATTCATTTTGAATTTAGAATGACGCGTTCATTTTCTTCTTAAAAAAAAAAAATTTAGGGTGTTTGCAAACTTTGGCAAATCTTTTACGTGAATTTAAATACATTGATAATTCAAAAGAAGTTAGGAATGTTGAAGAAGTTGATGAAATTGTTGCAATATATGATAAATTAATAATTATTGATGAAATGCGTGTTAAACGATTTGAAGATTTACGTAAGATATTTAATTATTATTTTTTCTTTTCGTTTTTATTATTTTCTTTTGCTAATGTGATAAATACATAAAATTACTTTTTTTTCACAGGATCTAAAATTATTTTTGAAAATTCAATAAGAAGGTTCGTTCAATCTGCAGATGACGTAACTTCAGAAATACAACAAATCTTAGCCGAGTCCTCAGATAACTTTTTAAATATATTCAAAAAACTCTTCTGTAAACCATATCACTTAAATTATAAATAAATCTCTAAAAATAGAATTGAAAATTTCAAAAATAAAAATAAAGCTTTACTGTTTTAATGCCGTTTATTTGTTTTTTTTTTGTTTTCTTGTCGACATAGCCCTTCACATGCAAACTATCTAATTTTGATCTAATATCAACGATTAAATATTTCTAACCAAAATAATTAACTATAATTATATATTTATGACACGGAATATTTATTATTATTATTGTTATTACAAAAAAAGAATAAATTAATTTTAATTATAAAAGTTTTACTTTTCTAATTTTATAAATATTATACAAAGATCGTTTTGCCTTATAAGTCAAATCCGTGTACATATCTTTTTCCATATTTGTAAACCCAAGCAATAAATGATAAAAAAGGAAATAAAAGAACGACAGTTACAAAAATGCGTATGGCATGACGCGTGGCATATAATAATTTTTTTTTTGACGAACAAGTTTAACAAGTTTGATCCAGCTTTACAAATAATAATTATATACGTATTTGAAAATTACAGAATTCTTGATTTATGTTCTCATAAAGTTAAAATTTATTTTTTTTAAGTAAAAATTCCATATTTTTATTCTATCTTTATCGTATATATCAATAACCACGAGTTAATGCATTTATTTCTTACAAATGCGCGGATTGTTGATTTTTTTGGTTTAGATTAAAAGAATGTTTGGTTTTATTAAAATAGTTTGTACACGAATGAAAATGGTTTACGTAGGAAGAAGATTAATTAACTGCACATTTTATTATTCGTATTTAAGGAGATTATCGTTTCAAGAATAAAAAGAATAAGATCAATAAATTCGGAGTATTCTACACATTCTACAATTCCAATATCAAGACAAATTATTTTAGTAACAAATAACAGATCTCTTTAAATTTAAAGTATGTTATTAAACTTTATTATGCAATCGTTTTCATTAAATTACAAATCTTCATTAAATATATTAATTATTTCTGGTTAAATTTGTAAATTATATAACCATTCTTGGTGTGACAATTTTTTTTTTTATATGACGCGTCTAAAAATAACAAACTTTGTCTTTTATTCAATAATTTATCTCCGAATTTAAAGAATACAAATTTGGTTCATTGTGATTATTTATTTTTTTTACTTGCGCCTGATTTCTTTGTTTTAAAAAATATTAATGAACTAAAAATAGTAATATTTTCAACTATGTATTACTAACACATAACGCGTAATCAGAAATAATATAATATAATCATTATATACTATATACAGTATATACATTATTTAGCTAATCTTTTAATTTCATTAGTTTCATTGAAAATTTTTACATAATCCCTAATTTATGAAACAAGATTCCCTTTAATTTTTTTTTAAAAAAAAAAAAAAAAAATTCTTAATAAATGCACAAGAAAATTCATTAAAATAAAGATAATCGTTTCAGGAATAAATCATGAAAAAAACTCAGGAATGTATTTCCGTAGATTCCAGAGACCCAGACTCTTCATTCTCAAATCAACTAATTCTAGTAAACGAAAGTAATTCTTTTAAACCTCCATTTCCACCATTAATTAATATAAAAGATTTTGTAACAAAACGATCCTGTGAACAAAAAAATCCAAGTAGACCACCAAATGCTTTCATTATCTATAGAAAAGTATGTGTTAATGCTGCTCATGCAAAAAATCATTGTCTACCAATGACAATAATATCCTCTTTAGCTTCCGAATTGTGGAAAAATGAACCTCCGCACGTAAAAAATTTTTATAAAAATATGGCAAAAGATGTTAGCAAACATTATAGTAAAATGTATCCCAAATTTTACCAACGCAAAAGACGTGAAAAGTGGAATCTAATATCATTTGAAAAATCAAATCAAGATGAATTGGAAAATTCAAATTTCACTACTAAATTTCCAATAATAGAATTAAAAGATTCCAACGAAAAGTCTTCCGAAAATTGTGAGCACGAAATTCAATCTATTTATCCTAACCCTGATTTATCATTTGATATTAATACATACCAAATAATAAGAGAAAAATCTAATAAACCATCTGATAAAGTCACGTATCCAAATCCAGAAGCAAATTCATTTGAATTACCAACTTTTAACACTGAAATCACTGGAATTGAAAAATTAATTTTTGAAAATAATTCTGACTACGAAAATTATATTAATACTTTGACGTGGTACAATAATTGTACATTTTCAACACCACCTACATTTTTTTTTAATGCTGTAAACAATAATACATCAGGCGTATTACCTTTTCAAAATAATTTAGAGTCAGATTATTCAGATTCTTATTTCTTTTAATGTATATATATATTTTCCATATTATAAGAACTTTTTATGTTATCTTGGATTCTTATATTGTCAATATTTAATAGAATCAACACATATATGTATATATAAATATGTATATAGTTCTAAGTAATCTTTATTATTTAAATATGGCATTTATGGACATTTATAGTTTTATAGTTAGTTATTTAATATGATTGAAAAATTATATTTACAATTTAAAAAACAAAAAAAAATAAAATAAAATAAAATAAAAATGTTCAAAAAGGAACTTTACGTTCTTCTCTATAAATGGATTCTTTGTCTCTCGTAAAAATTTGAAATACTTCATAATCTTCTATGTCAAATGTAGGTGAATCAATTATACTTTTTTCATAAAGTGATTTTTGACTTATACATTTTTTCGATAAATTATTAAAACTTGGCATCCATAAATCACGATTTCCAAAACATGGTCCACGTACATCTGCTCCAAATAATGCCATTACTGAATTTTCTGGTAATATTCTACTAATTTTTGAATTCTTTAAATTTCCATCTTTGTCGATAGAAAAAACAAAACTATCATTTGTTTTAGTCCAATTACCAAGAAATCCACCTCGCCAATTTACAGGATTATATCCTCCAATTATTTCCTCGGTTCCCGAAACTTTCATTAATACAACAGTTTCACTTCTGTAATCACAAAGTTCATGAAATTTTCGTGCACTGAAACCATCTCGACTACCACGTAAAAGAAGTCGAAATTCATGAGAAGGAGTTTCTCTATAAGATAGATTTTCATTTTCTTTACGGCCAATCCAACGTGCGACAAGTGCGGCATGCTTTATTTTGATAATTTCCGAATCAATTAATGCTTTATACTTTATATTTTGATTTTCAAAATCATTGATAATATTTTGTGGTAGAATCTTATTAAATTGTTTCAATCTTTTGGGTATTTCGTTAGGATTTATATGTTTAAATTTAATAAATGAGATAGAATTTTGTAAAGTGGATTTTAAAAGAGAAAATTCTTTATACGACCATTCAGAAACACGTTCGGAGACATCACGGTTATGTTTTTTCATTTGAGCGATTCCCCATTGAATTAGATAATCCCATAAATCAATTTCATCAATCCGAAGATCATCTCTTTGAAGAATTGAAATTAAAATTGGTTCGTTAATTTTCAAAAAAGCACTATTTCCTAATGCCGCAGTTGGGTTCTCGCATATAGTATTTAAACTTAATTCTCGTAAATCTTTACAGCTATCCAAATGAGAAATAGTATGGTTCAAAACTTGAAAAGGAAATTGTAGAATCCATTTGTAATGAAATTCACGAAGATATTCTTTCGAGTGCTCTACAAGTTCAGTAAGAAGTAATTCGTCTGCTGCAGCCATGAGGTCTATAAGACATGTAGGTTGTAATTGGTCGAAATCAATTATACCTGAATACAAATATCTAAAAAATTTACGACGATCATTTCAGAATTAATATATAATGAACAAACATTTTTATTTTTTTATTTTTTTATTTTATTTTTTTTTTTTAAAAAAAAAATTCATACTCTAGAATCCTTTGAAAAGTCTGAGGGGAAATGTTATTTTTTTCAAAAACAATTACATTTCCTTCTATCTTTGCCCAATTATTAGATAGAGCCGAATGAAAGTAAGGAGACCTCGCTCGCAATAGACACAAGTGAGCTTTAAAATGTTCAATGTTTGGTGACTTTCCAACTTTAATAATGACATTATAATCATCTGCATTAAAGAGCATTTTAATGAGATCTCTTGAAAGAGAATCGAAAAATTCGGGAAACATTTTTCTTTTTTTTTAAAAATATATGTATATATATAATCACTTTGATGTAAAATTTTAATATATATATATTTTTTTTTTTGATATAAATTACGATGATGATGAAATGCACGACTTTATATCATTTCTAACGAACTATAGTGGAAAGTGGGGATGTGGGGAGGAATATCTAACCCCCTTTATCAGTGTAACTTGAACATGATCGAACTTTTGTGTGGCTATGAAATCTAACCAAATGTCGCTAACGACATGAGAAACGATAATAGTAAGAAATTTTAATGCACAATTATTCGAAAGATAATTTGCTCTTGGTCGTTACATAATCATTATGATTATTAATAACAATAAAATAATTTTATTCTATTTTATACTGGCTGCACAATTAAAGTTATTATAAAAAAGAAAGTGCGTAAAATTTAAACAACAGATTTAAGTTTTGAAACAAAAATTTTTAATTTTTGCTATTTTAAGGAACGAAACTGCATGGGAAATATTTTTTTTCTTTGATGAGTTGCTTACTAACAGTGAGAAGAAATCACGCAATCTGGGGTATTAAAATAAATAATAAGAAATTATGTGAAAGTAGTTGATTTTTTTTCTTTGATTGTATGCATGCATTTTTTTTTTTTTGATATCTCAATAAGAAATGGGTTTGAAACTGTTATTGAAATGTTTCGCATATTTACATTTTTAATAATTTATATTTCTCTGTTTAGAAAATATTTTGCTTGTTATATTATTTTGAATAATTCTTTTAAGTCGCCTGATTCTGCACGACAAAGAATAAAAATATATATAAATAACATGCCAATTGAAATTTTATTGCTACTATATTTTTTATTTTCATGAATTCGCTTGATTCGGTTAAACAAGATGTCAAAAATAGGTTTTCTTGATAAGTCAACTATATCTTTCATTTAACCATTTACTCGTTAATGTCATAATAAAAAGAAAATGCTAGATCAAAATTTAGAGGGTCCCTGAAATCTATTAAAAAAATCCAATCCCATCTTCTAACGTAAGTGATACAAGGCTATTTTTATCGTAATCTTTGACAATATAAATCTATTAGATATTGTAGTAATAACGGATAAGTATTTCTTTATTGGTCAATTTTAAATCCCGAGTCACGCATTATTCAAATTTTTAGGAAAATTAAATTTTTTGACTCTACTAATTTAAGAAGAAATAATGCTATTTTAGGTCTATCGTATCAATCACTAATTTTATATAAAATTAGAAGCTTTTAGGTTCATTCAAGTACATTATGGTCACGACTTATTGAATTCGGAATCTCCCGTTTAAGGCAACTTGAATGTCGTTTCACAATTTTAGATTGGTCGCATTACTTTATTAAAAATCCGTAAATTCGTAAACATTCTTATCATTTATTTCTATAACAGATAACGTTATTTTTGAATGAAAGTTTCAAGATAAGAATTCAAATCTGGAATTTTTCGTGGTCTTCTTAAAAAAAAGAAATTTTCATGCTCGACGGTTGTATTGTTTATAATAAAATAAAAACAAGCTAAATAATAATAACATTCGAAAATTTTAAAAAGGATTATCTTTGCACAAATCATCTTTGTAAAACCAAAAGAAGTAAAAATAATAAAATGGCGCGAAATATAGTCATTATTATTTTTATGTATTTATACCCCCATTATCAATTTATGAATTCACCAATTCTTAAATTTAAATTTTCATTTTTTTATCCCCCTTTTTTTTTTTTACTGCGTCAAAGCCAATACATTCGGCTTTTTCGATTTATTAAAAATTTAATTCTGAAAGGCAATAATTAAATAAAAAAAGAAAAATATACATATGTAATATGAATAATACTTCACTTGTTGATGAAAAATATTTTCCTGGAGATATCGCTTGGGTATTGACTTCGACATGTCTGGTCTTTCTTATGATACCAGGCATTGGTTTTTTCTATAGTGGATTAGCGAGGAATAAACATGCTTTATCATTAATAATGTTAGGAATTTTGGCCATTCCTATAGTAACAATACAGGTAATTTATTTTGTTATTTACTTTTTTTTTTTATTTAAAATAAATTTTTATATATGATTTTATTTTTTTATCTAGTGGTTTTTATGGGGATATAGTCTTACATATAGTCAAAGCGGATATTCTTTTATTGGTAACCTTGATAAAGCACTTTTAAGAGGAATTACCGACAACCCTTCACCTACAAGTAGTAAAATTCCAGAAATTGTATTTTCTATTTATCAATTGATGTTTGCCGCCATAACACCAGCAATAGCCATTGGTTCCGCAGCTGAACGTGTTCGAATAGTACCTTGTATTTTATTTATTTTTGTATGGTCAACGCTTGTATATGATGTAATTGCTTGTTGGTGTTGGTCACCGAATGGATGGTACTACAGGTTGGGTGGTTTAGATTTTGCAGGAGGAACTCCAGTTCATGTTGCTTCTGGTGCAGCAGCTCTGGCATTTAGTTTAGTTTTAGGAAGACGTAATGGTCATGGAAGAGATGAATTTAAACCACATAATATAACTTATGTTGTTCTCGGTACAACATTCCTTTGGTTTGGTTGGTTCGGGTTCAATGGCGGTAGCGCAGAAGCAGCAAGTTTACGTGCAGCTATGGCTTGTACGGTAACGAATATAGCAGCATCATTTGGTGGTATTACTTGGATGATAATGGATTATCGACTGGAACGTAAATTATCAACTTTGGGATTTTGTTCGGGAGTCGTAGCTGGTTTAGTTGCTATTACCCCCGGATCGGGGTATGTTAGTCCTCCTTCAGCTTTAATATTTGGTATAGCTGGTGGAATATGTTGTAATTTAGCAGTTAAATTAAAACATTGTCTTAACTATGATGATGCATTAGATGTTTTTGCAGTTCATGGAATTGGTGGTTTAGTTGGAAATATCTTGACGGGAATTTTTGCGCAGAAATCAATTGCATTGCTTGATGGGCAAAAAATTAATGGTGGGGCAATAGATGGAAATCCTAGTCAAATAGCTAAACAATTATCTTCATCACTTGCGGGAATGGCATATTCTTTTGCAATGTCATATATTATTCTCCAAATAATAAATAAAATTCCTGGTTGTAGTTTACGGTTAAGCGCCGATAATGAAGAATTCGGTACAGATGAAAATGAAATTGGCGAATCAGCATATTATTTTGTAGAGAGATTAGTAAATAATTACCAAGTTTCTCAACCGAGTACTTTATTAATGCAAACTGCGCCAGTAGTTCGACCAACATCGCCGCAGAACACCGATTCTATAAAATAAGATTAAAATTTATTTTATGCAAAACTGTAAAATATCAGATATTATTTATTGTATAATTTCTTTAATAAATAACGTTCTTTCTAATATTCTCAAATGTACTTTTAATTTTTTTGCACGACTTGAGGGGTTTATTATTAATTTAGTATTTATTTACTATTTATTATTATTATAATTTATTATATTAACTATTTGTTTACTATTTTACTATTATTTTATTTACTATTATTTTATTTTATTTACTATTGCATTGCATAAATTTTCCTTTGGCATTTAGTAATAATCTACTCTAACATTTTATTTAGGAGACACTGCATAAATTTTTGTCATATCAATTTTACTATTTTCAAAAAAAAAACTTAGAATTTCAATATATTAAAGTATTCTTAAAATAGATTAAAAAATTTTTTATCATAATTTAATAATAAAAGATTCCAAATTTATTTTTCGTTTTATATATATTTTTTTTTGCATGTGAAATTGATATACAAAAATCATCTAATTTACATTACTAAAAATGTAATTTCTCCTTTCTCTAAGTTTTTCTCTCTAGGTAATGGATTAGGTTTATTAAAATTTCTAATTCTTGGTCATATGGCAATCTCCCGGATTTTTTTTTCGATCTCAGAAAAAAAAATTTTTTTTTTTTAATATATCAAAATTGAGATCAATGACGCGAAAAATATTTCATATCAATAATTTGATTGTATTTACATCATTCATCAATGATCTATTTAAATAGAAAAAATAAGTAATAAATAAGTAACAAATTCGTGCAAAAATTCCATTAAATCTTTTTTTAACAAACAATGCAAAGGGAAGGTGAAAAAGGGCCAATTACTGGGCGTTCTGTAAGCGATATTGAAGAAACAACTGCAAAAAAATTAGAACCTGTTTTTGAAGAGTTTCGAAAAGTTTTAAGTCATATCTACTATTGGATATCGAATTTGATTAACAGCTCTATGGAATTGATTCTTGGCTTATACAACAAAATTCGTCAATTTGTTCAACCCGTAATTAATTTAATTAATGAAAAATTTATGAAAATTTGGAATAATTTTCCCCCTTTTCGTTGGCTTGTTTATTCCGTGATGATCTTCAATGCGATTCCTTTTACAATATTTTTGGCGTGGGGAATTTTTACTTTAGCTATTAGTTTAGCAATTGCTGGAGGTGGAATTATGATCACGGAAGGATTTTTTATCTTATTGGGATTATCAATTTTTTTACCTGTAGCATTTGTACTTTCATTTATTTCATTCGGATTCGCATTATTTTTAACTTTGGCTTGGTTTGGATTTAAAGTTGGAAATACTGTTAGTCGTAGTATTGGATTAACATCTCAAGAAATGGTGGTTGATGTTAAAGGAGTTGTTGCTGGTACAATGAGATTAATCGGAGTCGGTGGAGATACAAGACATGCATAATTTTTTTTTTTTTTGGAACGATTTTCGTAAATTTTTATTTTTTAGATTATAATTTTAAATAATAACATAAAAAAAGATACAAAAGAATTTAGTTGTTATCTTTCATGTAACCTGATTACCTATAAAAACGGTTAACAGTAAATTATAATTTTGTCATGAGGTCCAAACACGACGGGGATACATGGAAGCAAAGATCTCATTTGTGCGCATAATAAATAATTATTGCTTTATCCAATGTTACACGAAATGAAAGAACGTGCTTATTTGGCACTTTAATTTCTTTATTTCAAACGATTTCGCATGTTGACTAACCTTTCATTTTTCCGAATACGGAATCCAAACTTAGTCATTCCTTTTTTCTTGTACTCATGAATTCTTTAAATTACTGACCCAATTAAATTCGCGTGGTCGTTTTATATGTTTCCTTTTATTTTTGTTGAGATAATTTTCTCTTGATATTTAAAGAATCATCTTATTATTATTATTATTAATTATTAACAAATATAGAGACTATAAACAAAATGAAAAGTTTATATTGTATTATGTGTATTTTTATCCATTAAATTATTTATACATTTTAAATTTTAAATTATACATTTTGGCATTGAAATTAGAACATTTTATTTTTTTTTTTTATAAATTATATAAATTTTTTTTATACAAAATTTTCTTTTTTGAAAATTAAAAACATTAATTTATTTATTTATTTATCAATTCAATTAAAATTTATTTAAATTTAATTTATTTTAATTTATTTCAATTAAAACATTTATAAATATTATAAACATTATGGCAACAACTCCAAGAAAAAAGAGGTTTTCTTTATTCGGAACTCAACAAAATAATTCCATAAATACTGGATCATCACTTCTCACAAATTATTTTCCTAATACCACTTCTATCCGAGACGATAAATTTTTAACATCAGATGATATTAAAAAATCCATAGAAATTTTCGAAAGAATAGTTTTATCAGCAAATGATTATTGCGATTCCATCGATAAATTAGGTAAAACTTCAAAGACATTTAGTAAAGCGCTTAAAGAATATGGAAATATTAAAGGAATGGATACATCACACGGTATGTATCAAATATTTGATCGTCACATTCGTGCACGTGATGTTAACATATCTATATATAATGTGTATATTTATTTTTATTTTTTTTAGTAACATCGTTCCAAGCGACATCCCAATTTTTTGAAATTTATGCTGAAATACAATCAAAATTAGTATGTAAAGATTGTTTACTTAATATTTTTTTTTAAGATTCATATTGTATTAATATATATATATATTTATTTATTTTAGAATAAAGTTGTACAAAAAGAATTTGAAACATTGCAAAAATTCTGGGATAAATATTTAAAAAAAGTGACGGTAGGTAAATCTATTTAAAATTATTTTTTTATATTATTATTATTATTATTATATTATTTACTATAAATTAAAATTAATTAATTTTATTGATTTATTTATAGAAAGAAGAAAGAGCGCATAATGATTATATTTCTGATTTGGATAGACAATTAAACAAGGTCACATTGGAATACGAAAAGAAAACGAAAAAAAATATCCCCGATTCATATGATGTTGGATTCTTTTTTTTTTTATTATTATTTATAATATATTTTTTCTAAGTAATTTGCTTATTCTATTTTTTTTTTTATATTTTATTTTATTTTATTTTTATTTTTATATATTTATTGATAATAGAAATATATAAATTCCGTGACATTAGTCAATTCTGACATTGCGCGAGCGCGTGCAGAATACGTGACACAAATTTCGAAAAGAGAGAGAAACACGCATGACATCATTGCACAAATTATTTGTCGAATTATAGAGAATCAAAATAATTCATTTAATGATTCTAATAAAAGATGTGGACCAAGTGTAACAAAAATAAATGAAACTTTACCTTTAGTAGGAGTTTGCACGCAATCATCACATAATAGTAATAATAATAATGATGATGATGACGGAGATGAAAGTGTGAGTAAATAATAAATTTATTAATCATTTATCATTTATTATTTATTTATTATTTATTTATTTTTTTTTAGAAAATCTCTAAATCAACTAAACCAACTAAAGAAATCTCGATGATTACACGAAAATTATCAAAAAGAGCTTCACACAAAGTTTCGCAATCTTTCGCAACTATATCAGAATTACAAGTAGCTGCAATGAATTATTTTTCTTCTGAATTTAATAAACCTATACATGAAGAGCCGGAAGAAGATTATATTTCAAAATCTTCATTACCACCACAAATTCCTCCTGTTTCAATCTCTACTGATCCAATTGATTTACAATTCGATCAACCAATACAAATATTTGATAAAATAATAAAATCCGAGAACAATTATAATCTAGAGAATAATAATAATAATAATAATAATAATAATAATAATAATAATAATAAAAATGAAAATTCTTATAATGATAACGAAGGTTCATCGATACTTTCAATTCCTTTAAGTTTTAAACAAAAAACATCCGAATTACTCTCAAAAATTTCCATTGGTATTCATGATGAAGATTATCCATTCATTCGAGATTATGATATAATTGAAGGCGAAAATAAATCTATTAAAAGCAATGAGATTATTAATAACAATAACAACAACAACAACAATAATAATAATAATAATAATAATAGTCCTCAGGAAAATAAAGAAATTAGAAAATTATGCATTAATACTGGAAATAATTTTTTAAATAATGATTCTAATATAAAACAAAATAAGGATAATGAAATTAATAATAATAATAATGATAATAATGATAATAGATTAAAGCCTGCTTATAGTTTTGATACTCGATACTTAGTTTGTTCATTTCCTACTGAATTACCAACTCGTATTTCACCTTCTACATCACCTCGAGAATCTATAAACTTCGAAAATAATAATAATGATTCTGGAACAAGAAAAACAAGAGAAGAAAGTGGAGAAAGAAAAGAATTTGAGCAAAGAAAAAAAAATCATCATCAACATACGCATACTCAATCAGATGGAAATATTAAATATGAAAAAGTATCTAAAAGCAATTCCTCCTCGAACAGTTATCAATTCTGTCGTTCCCATTCCCCAACTTCAATAACTCCAATAACTCCTATAACCCCTACTACCACCACTTCCACCTCCACCTCTACCACTTCAAATTCTGAAGATTACTTTAATAGTAAATCACGATTTTCACAACTACCACCAACTTCTTCTTCTTCCTCTTCTTCATTATTGCCACCATCTCAACCACTTTCTCCTTCTAAATCGAATAATAATTTTGAAAATGAAAAATCATCTACACGACTTCCCACAAATTTAAAACCACGACGCGCCAACACGGATTATAATTTACTCATAAACAATAGTAATAGTGGTAATAATAAACGCGTCGGTCCATCCGTGGCTGATTTAAAAGAACGTTTCTTATCATTAAATAATGATAATAATAATAACAAAGAAAAGGTTAATATTTAATTAATTTATTTATTAATACTAATATATTAATTTATTAATACTAACATACACACACGTACACCAATATACGCACGCACGAAATATATTATATACGATAATTTATAATTTATTTTTAGACTCCATCAACTCCACGTAACATTCCAAGATCGAAACAAGGTCATTTTAGTACTTTATTATCCCGATTTGATATCGAAAATCCTCACCACCTTACTCGATCTATGAGTCAAACTTCAAAAACAAGTGAAGATTATTTCTTTAGAAATCAAACTAAAAGATCTAGTGAAGATTATAGTTACAATAATAATCGATATGAAGAAGATGTTATGGAAAGAAGTCATTCAAGTAACGATATATTTAAAGATGAAATGGTAAATTTTATAAAATTTATTTTTTGTTTGCAATTTTTTACAATTTTTCACATTATTTTTTTTTCACAATTTTCCACACAAATCTTTAATAATATGCAGTATCATCAAGAACCATTACCTAATGAAAATATTTTTTCTTCATCACCAACTAAGCAAGAAGAATGTAATTGTCATAATTGTCAGCAAATTGCTGAAAAAGTGGATTTATCTTTGGATCCATTAAATGATTCTTCAACGTTTGGAAGGAAAAGTATTGGAGAAAATAATGGTAACATATAATTTATATATTTATTTATTATCAATATATCATGTCATTCCTTTTTTTTTTTATCTTTCATGAAATAACTTAAGAAAAAAATGTTGTAGATGATTTTGAATAACAAACAACGACGATTTTCGTGAATGTAAAAGAAAATTTCATCTCAATTTAAAAAAATAAAAATAAAAAATAAAAATAATAAATAAATTTATTTATTTTATTTTTACAATTTAAAATGTACATATTATTATTATCTTCTATTGTTATTCTTAATTGTTGATTATTATTATTAATTGAATTGAATTCAACTTTTTTTAATTTTTTTCTTTTTATTTTCTTTAAATTCTTTAATTTCTCTTAAAAGAGCAACAATTAATGGAACCGAAATAGGAACAAATAATGGCATATATATAGCGTATTTATGTTCATCAGGAAAATAGAGCATTGATACCATTGTAGGATCAAAAAATGCTGATTCCGCTCTTTCTATTGCTTTTTTTGCATGTTGTAAAGCAATTTCATATTGTTCTTCTTGTAAACTTGTGCAGGACTACATTATATATATATATATATATATAAATTATATGTACAAATAAATCAAGTGATATAAATTCAGTTATATTAATTATTTATTTATGATATTTATTTTTTTTTTCTTTTCATAAAAAAAAAAAAGTTCTCACCTTTTTCAAACTGTCCAATGCCAATAAAACCTTTAATAAAATTTTTTTAAATTATTTTATTTTATATCTAATTAATTAATTATTTCTTCCTTCTAGCGCATCATTAAATAAATAATAATAATAATAATAACTCACCTCAGTTTGTATATGATCTAATACAACCATATTTGGAATTTCAGCAACTAATTGTGACAATGATTTTAAAGTTAAAATTGTGGCCACAATATTTTCCGCTATTCGGCGCCTCACCAAACTATCAAGTTCCCACATGGTAATAGCAGTATTTTGTGGCGAAGTAAATTCGATAGTTACAGATGAATCCTGGAATAATATAATATACATATTATAAAATCAATTATTTATATTTTTAAATTAATTAATTAATTTTTAAAGAAATTAAATAAATAAATATTTTAGTTTTTTACCAAACCAGATCCAGCTTTAACCCAAAAATCTTGTACACCAAGTAATCCTCTTAATTGCATGATAAAGATAGACATTACAGATTTCAATTCTTCTGATGTAAAATTATGAATCCCGGTTGAGCGATCCGGATTATTTATAACCACTCCACCCCATCTTGGTATTAAAAATGCATTATTTTTAATAATATTTTCTATTAAAAATTTTTTTAAAATAGATTATTATGATATGAATTATTATAAATAAATTGTTAAAATAAATATATTGGAAAAGATTGCATAATAATAATAATAATAATAATAATAATAATAAGATGATTATTATTATTATTATTATTTACCTTTTGAATCTTGTATGTACAAAGGACTTTGCTCTAAAGATGGAACATATAAAATAAAATTAAGTGTAGGATAAGAAGAAACGGCCGAAGCTGTGATAAATAATATAATAAATAATTAGAAGTTAAATTAAAATATTATAGATATTATATAAAAAATATAAATAAATATATTTAATAGGAGGATAAATTAAATTTACCAAGTTTCCATTCCGCAGCATTTATAAAATGAGGTAATAAATCAGGAGTCAAATAAAAATACTTGTCATTATCATTATTATAATTAATATTCTCAATGATTTTTTTTTGTTGAGGTTCAAATGTTAATCTGGCATAATGTTGAATTTGGGATTCTACTATTAAATTGGAAATTACAGAAATCTTATCAACAAATGGTTTCAAATATTTATTAACAGTTTGATCAATATCCCAATTTACAAGTAAACTTGATGGATCTCCATTCATAAGGCTGAATGTTACTTGATACATTGGAGAATATTTCATTGTTCTCATACTGTCAAGTTCTACCTGTTTAGTGATAATAATAAAAAAAGTGATGAAATAAAAAAGTAACAGTAAGTGACAGTGAGTGATTGATCAGCATAATAATAGTGATGACAATAAAATAAATAAAATATTTGATAATAAAAATAATATTTTCTAAAAATCATACATTTGCTTCTGTTGATGGTTCTAATATAAATTTCTTGGTAGCAATTTGTTCAGGTAAAAATAAATTAAATATTATATTTGAAACTGTCTTCTCAATAAAATCTATATATATATATATTTCAAAAAGACTTGATTATTAAATATAAATAAATTTTAAAAAATAAATTTAAATAAATTTAAAATAAATAAATGGAAATAAGTAAAATTTAAATTAATTTGTATTTACCAAGATTCCAATGTTCAATTTGTTCAATTTGTACAATGGCTTGCCTTTGATTTCCCACCAATACTTTTGTTTTTTTATTTTCATTATTTCCTGGTAAAATATAAAATGCATATTTTCCATTTTTACTAGTAAAATTTAATTGTCCAAGATTGAAATCTATTAATATTAAAATTATATAAATGTTGTTAATATATTTATCTAATACAATTATTTATAATATTTAATCTATTTATTTAATCTAATTTATTTTATAATAAAAATTGTAATTTAGAATTATTACAATTTTTACCTTCTTTGAGAACATCTTTCCATTCATTCCATTCTTTTATTTTAAATTTAACAGGAAATTGAACAGATTTTGAATTGTTAATTAAATTATATTTTGATGCAATTGATTCTTTTAAACGAATATCAAGATTTTTGAGATTAAAATTATTGTTTTCTTCCAACACATTGGTAGCAATAAATAAAGTGAAGTGTGTTGAAAATTTAATATCTAATCTCTAAAAAAATTATAAAAAATTGATTATAAAATTAATTAATTATATAAAATTAATTATTATAAAATTAATTATCATAAAATTGAGAGTTAACAGACCTCCCTTTTTTTAGACCATTCTTCTATCTCTGCAAATGGAAGTTGTGCACGATAAATCTCGGTCGTCTTCCACCATAAAGGAAGACCAATTATTATTATTACCCAAATTGATAACATAATTAATTGTCGGATTTCATGGCTATTACTCTGAGATTTTTTCATATTTAGAATTTATTTATTTATTTTTTAAAACGAACAACGGGAAGTTTTCATTGTATTATTAGAGGATTAGTCAGGTGACTGATGATATTAGTTACCCTTGAGATATTCGAATTTTATTGGTCCATAGTTTAATAAATATTATACGTGCTATGTTCATGTGACTGGTTCTTGTGACAACGAAGGGTGTGCACACGATGATAAATATACTACCCTGGAAAACCCTAATCCTAACCCATGCATTTAACGGTAGGTTAGGATAAGCTATTAGTTATTATGGTTGTACATTTGCAGTGATGATGATGTCATATGATACATATTAAGAATGAATTAATTATCATTAAAAAAATTAAAATGGTTAACACAATAATAAAATATGACATTAAATAATTTAAGAAGGTAAAATTTATGCATGAAAAAAATCATAATGAAAAAGATTAAGTTAAAAAATAATGAATAAAAACAAAATTTTATTTTACTAACACGTTTATTATTATTATTATTATTATTATTTGTATTATCATGCTCGATATTGTGACAAATGAATATTAGTACCAATATATTTTTAAAAATAGTTATAAAAATTTTTTAGAGTAACGAAAAAAAAAGACATGTTACAATCCGTTAACATTTATCAATTCATTAGGTAAGAGACGCCAAAGCAAAAAAAAAAAACGACAATCGAAATTACAATCAATGAACAGTTAATGAAAATTATAAAGCATATTGGCGTTGAAAATTAAAAAAAAAAAAAAAAAAAAAACAAAGGTACGAGAAATAATTTATTTTAATGAAAATTTTGGATAAGGAAATATAATAATTATAATAATAATAATTCCGATTATAATCGTATAAAAATTTTATAGTTGCCTGTAGCCAAGAAATGCAAAAAAGTTCGACCACACGGATAATTTTAATTCTATGCATTGATTATTGATTATTTAAAAATGCAATTTTATGGGTGCACGTCCTTTGACCATTTCTCCTGCATAAAAATTCGAAAAAAAAATTTTAATGCAAATTATGTATTGTCTTTTTTTTTATAATAATCTTATCCAATAAGAAATCGTTTATTAATTATTATTTTTTTTATCCTCTTAACTATATATTCTGTCTGTCTAGAAAGGAATTGTAAATATATACTCGGATCGGACTTGAAAAAATTCTAATTTAAAATGATAAATTTAGATATCAAGGAATTAAATCTTTGGGGGGGGAGATTACAAGAAAACGCATTTATTTTATCATAATTAACATAATATTTCTAATCAACCTTTTTTTTTTATGAATTTTATATATGAATTTTTTTGAGATCCTATTTTTTAAAGAATTATATCATATTAATATTATCACACCACCAACTTGATTTTTTGATTTTTTGATTTTTGATTTTTTTTTTGATTTTTTGATTTTTTTCTTTTTTTGATTTTAATTTTTGATTTTTTTTTTTTTGATTTTAATTTTTTAAACATAACATAATTATTTATTTTTTAATTATTAATCTTAAATAATATCTTAATTTCTTTATTTAAAAAGTTCTTTTATTGAAAAGGCCAAGGGTTAAAATAATTGGAATAATTGGAATAATAATCTGGTTGCTGCTGAATTTGTTCATATATTTGAGCTTGTATGAGTAAATTGCCATTATCATTATAATAATATAAATCTTGATTATATAATTCAAGATTTATTGCTGTAAAATCGAAATTATTTTCTAAATTAAGTTCCGGAGTCTCTGGAATTTCTTGGAAACAGTTATTAAAATTGATAATCTCATTATTATTATTATTATTATTATTATTATTATTATTATGATTATGATGATTATTATTATAATGATTATTATTATTATGATGATGATGATTATTATTATTATAATTATTATGGTTAATATTATTATGGTGATGATGAATATTATGATTATGATTATCATTATTATGACTATTGCTACTATTATTATTATTATCATTGTCAATAGGTGATGACAACAATAATTCAGAATTTGGACTAGGAATAAGATTAAACCACGACGTTGTTTGATTCGCCGTGTTTCTGTTTTTTCTATTTCTCTTTTTTCTAATAATCTTATTAGAAAATAATTTTAAGTGTTGACTTTTTGCTTCATCAGCCAACCGTTTATATTCTGCTTTCACCGACTCTCGCTCCGTCCCCCAGGAGGCGGACGCCAAGGAAGAGGCAGACGTCATGCTTAAATAATGCCCCTCATTGTGGAGTGAATCCACAAATAGTTTACGATAAATCATAAACGCATTGGGGCTTCTAGATGGCATGTCACCATTCTTTTTGTTGGATACAAGATCTGATGACGTTATCCGGGGAGGGAATGGTGGCCTTACAAGTGAAGCATCAATAGAACTAGATGAAAATTTTTCATTTTGAAAATTTTTGTCATCACTTGTAATAGATTGTTCTTCCATTTTTTTTCTTACAGGAAAGTGTAATTTTTTTAATGCGGGGGATCGTGGGGGGTTTATATTAAAAAAATTTTCATTATTAACCTATTAAACTTAATAAACAAATATTATTAAAAAAAAAAAAAAATATTAAACAATATTATATTAAACAACATTGACATGTACTGCTTTTTTTTTATAATGTCAAAAAGAAAGATCTGGTGTGAACTAATAAAATTGGTAACAAATATAAATATAACAAGCAAATGCCAAAGTAAATTAAGAGTGCACAAATTGTCTTTCCAAATGTGGCGGAATCTTCAACATTGACCATACTACGCTGCATCTCTTTAATGTATGTAATGCAACGACCCTGAAAAGATATCATCATAATGTTTATTTTTCGTATCACAAAAAATAGAAAGAACATTTCCTTTTTTGAAATTATCGATATAATATTTCGCATTTAATAAGACACGTCTAATGGCATTATTATATAATCACAAGAGGCGCCTTTTTGTTAAGTTGGTACGCGAAACTTAAGCATCCTTTTATTGGTCTGAGTTTTTTTCGCATAGAATCAGTCAAATTTATATTGAGTGCATCAAAACATTCAGTAAATAGAAACACTAAAAAAAATAATGATCGCTTTTTGTATTGTTTAAAGTACTTAAAGTAACATTTAGTCGATACCAAATATTTATTGAAAAACGTGTGCAAATTTCTCATTATTTCTCACCCCATTTTTGTGCCTTTGTAATCTTTGTGCTGAGTCAATTATCTTAATACATTTAAAACCTTTTAAACAACGATTAAAACATTTTTACCAAATTTTTAATTTGGGGTAAAGTCGTATTACAAATATTCTCTTGGGAACAAATGATATCTTTACAAGGAAATATAAAGAAGTACAATATTGCAACCTATTTTTAATCCCTTGATTAAAATATAATATTTTGTTACGTGAAAAATAAATAAATAAATAAATAAATAAATATAGGTATAGGTACAGTACATTATTATATATTTCAAAAAAGATATATAATCAAATAAAGTAATTTTGATGTATTCGTGTATATTCGGGATATGTATTAAGATATTAAGATTTTGAAACTTTTAGAATTTAATGTTGTTTGTTTGAAAACGAACTATTGGTTATATTGAACATATGTATGTATGTAAGTATGTAAGAAAAGAAGAAAGAGAGAAAGAAAGAAATTAATTTTGTTTTTTTTTTGTGTAAATGTAATTATTTTTTCTTAATTTTTGATAAAGAAAAAAAAAAATTAATTATTCGGAAAAAATTTACATCCAACAAAATCGTTTCAAATATAAATTATTAAACTTTTACACAGATGTAATATAGAAAAATGAATTTGAGTACAACAACAAAGAAATTTTCCGATTAACAACGAGAAAATATAAATAAATATATACATTATATGCGAGGTTATATTTAAAGAACCAATATAATAATCGATATTCAACAATTAAGTTTATTCTTTCTTTGGAAAACAATGTATTTTTTTTGATTTCTTTTTGATTTTTTGTTTGTAATATGCGTTTAATAAATTTTGTTTTACAAGAATAGTTTTTTTTCTGGATGCTATTTACGGAAGAAGTTTTATGATTAAATATGATTAATAATACAAATTTAATAATGACAGTTTCAGATATATCTGTTTCAGGTAATAAAATGAACAAGTTTTACACTTGAATAATTTGAGTAAAAATGTATAGAATTTAAAATTAATAAATTAATACAATGAATTAAAAAATTCCTTTTCTAAATTAATGTATATTTTCATGATCGAGGGTTAAAAAAATATATATATATTATTTCTGATATTTATTAATATGAATAACTGTCAAGTTTGTCATATTTGGGACTTCATTTCAAGTGAAATTTAAAATGAAGGATATATTAATTCTTCATAGCAGAGATATAATTATTTCTCACAGAGTTGGAATATTCCAAATGTTGCTGTTACTTTGTAGTAGTGGATGAAAGACGCGTCCAGTAATTTATTAAATTCTCAGCAAAAGAAAAGTTGATTTTAATTTGGTAATGTGAGTGAATCAAAATATTAAATCATTTTCTTGAAGATAAATATTTTTTTATTTTTATTTTTATTTTTTTTGATGTTTATTAAATTTCAAACTGGTTAAAAAGATGAAAGCTATTAAAACAATTAACACATAGTGCTAACAATATATAATGTTAACTATACAGAAAAAAAAATTGAACAATACTCAAACTTCATAAATGCGAAAATCTCAATCTATAAATTAATAACAAAATAAAAAAAATAAACCTAGTAACGCAAGAATTTAAATGAGCCCTGTTTAAAGATACCTGCCAAAATTAATGCATAAAGGAAGAGTTGCAACATTGCAACTATTCCCTTAATTGCAACAATGCCATAATTATGTCATAATATAAAATCAGAAATAATTAGTTAATTGTTTAAAATCTCAAAAATGATACAATAAATTGCATCTATTGTAAAAATTTATATAATTAAAGTTTTATATGTAATTTACAATCAATAATTATTTCTGATTTTATATATAATTATATTATACTCAATTTTATGTATTTATATAATACTTGGGATTGTATCTTTGTAGTATTGACAGGAAAGCATTTTTCTAAATATTGAAGGTTTTTTATAACTTATATTTGTATAATGTGATCTAGTGATACCTGTTGTAAACTAATAAAGCTTTAAAATTAATGCCTAATCAAGAAGGTTCAAAAATATATGTAGCAATATGGCCGGAATTACAAACTGACCAGAGTTACAGTCATGAAGTTATAAAAATAATTAATCCTGTTTCTTCCCTAATTGCAAACTTGATTTGAATAATATAGTATCTTCCCTAGCTCTAGAGTCTAGAGTCTAGAGTCTAGATTCTATTTACATATATCAAATGAGTACCAATTGATTAACTGACTTATTTAATACCATCCATTTTTACAGATTTTTTTAATATCAAGTTCATACTAAATTCTTCAAATTTGTACTCAATTTGATCTAATTACATGATTATTGTTATTATTTGCTTGTTTACTTTCTCCTTTCTCAATTCTCTTTATAAGAGTACTTATTAGTTATATACTTTTCACAGTTTTCTATATTCTTTAGTTTTGTTTTAAAATATTCATATATGATTTGATTTCTTAAAAAATAAATTAGTTTATATCATTTATACAGGTTATCAAAACACTCCAGTTTTTTTTTGCTTTGTTGAAATTCATAAAATTTTTTTGAAATGTTTTTTTTTTTTTGATTCAATAATTAAAAATACATTAAATAAAGTAGTATTTTACATTTATATATAGAAGAAATATTGAAAAATCTCAAATATATATATATAAATCAAAAACTTATTTTGGAAACAATACATTTGATATATATCTCAAATTCCCAAAGCAACTTCTAAAGTAACCAAAACGTGAACTCTCAATTTCAAAATGTAGGAACTAAGACTCGGATTTTAATTTTTAAAACTGAAAAATGGATTAAACGATCGAAAAGATTTGCTACGATGAAGTTATATATACAGTATATACATTTATAAATAAAGCGCACAAAATAGACTTTCCTATCTAAGAGATTTAACTATTGTTAACATAAATAATTATGAGAGATACTAAAAACGTAACCCGATTATGCAGTTGATCAGTTTTTTTTTGTTCTCCACATAATAATTCTAGAGCTGTATAACATTCTTCTTTTTCTTCTTTTCGGAATTATTTGGATTTGGCCCTATTAATTTACTTTTTCCAAAATATGTAAGCTATGATGAACTATTTAAATAACATAATTTTTTTACCCAATTAATATTATTATTATTAAAAATTTCTATCTTCAGAAGTATTACTTAAAACCATTATATGTTTATCAATTAATCGGTCCACCTCTTACTATTTATTTTATGCCTTCAAATCACTCTTCAGCCATCAAAATCATTCTGGGCATCTGACATTTCTTTTGGTACGTAACTGATCTGGTAAGGTAGAATTTTTTTTTTTTTACGCTTAGATGAAAATAGCTTTGATAAAGATTTTAATATCTGTTATTACAAATCAAAAATAATAATGAATTAACTATCAGATTTAATGATTCAAATGTTCTAAGATATATTCTTTTTTTTTTTTTAATAAATTATAATAAATTTTTATTACATAAAAATACAAACCGCAAAATTCAATAATAAATCGTTAAACGCTAATGTAATTAAATTTAATGGTGACGCGTCATCAATTACTATAATATTATTTTCTCTGTTAAATAATTTTACCTCTATATTATATTATATTATTAAATTATCTTTACATAAAATACAAAAAATGGAAATAAATTAAAATAAATTTGTCTAAATAATTATCTTCTTATAACATTGTACCATACGATTATAATGATAATTATAATTAAAATAGTAGCGCAAGAAGCAGATTTACATACGACATTATTACTTCTTGTTACAACCGCAACTTTTTTATAATAAAAAATATATATATAATAATAATAATAATTAGTTTTTGAAGTTTGAAATTTTTTTTTTTTTGAAAAAGAAAATTTACCTGGAGGAGGTGCTGAACTTTGCATTACAATTTGTGTTTGTGGTGGAGGTGCTGGTTGGCTATTTACAATAATCAAATTATTGTTTGCTGGTTCAGGAGGAGGTGGTGGTGGCGGTGGTTGATAGTAATGTTGAGGTTGTTGAGGTTGTTGAAATTGTTGAGGGTAAGAGTAATTCGGATTAGATTGTTGTTGAAAGTTATGGTTATTTTGAGGTTGTTGAGGTTGTTGAGGTTGTGAGTAATTCTGTTTTTGAAACTGATCAACTTGAGAAGGGTAGTCGGGTTGAATTTGTGCGGGATAAACTTGAAGGTCTTGCTGAAAATTAGAGAATTTGGAATTTTGTTGTTGCAAAGAGTCATTGGGAGGATATTGTGAAGAGAGAGGTTGATGTGGTGAAGAGAGAGGTTGATGTGGTGAAGAGAGAGGTTGATGTTGTGAAGAGGGAGGTTGATGTTGAGCCGTTTGGTCCACACCCATCGGTGGTGTTATACCCGCTGATTGTTCTATACCCATCGGTGGGGTTATCTTTGAACTAGTGTCAGTAAGGGGATACTCGGAGAGATTTTCCGTTGGCATTTTTTCTTTACAATTAAATATTCTCGTTTAAAATGATGTTATTTTGAATTATGAAAGTTAAAGATTTTTTTAATTTCAATGAAATGTGAAAGATATTTATTTTAGAATTATATAAATTTGGAAACTTCTAAATTAAATGTTTCGAGAAATGGGCATTTCGTGATACGTAAGCATTAATTATCATAGGCCAAAATATATATTGAATGTACAAATAAATAAATAATAAATGAAATTTTGTGAAATATAAATAAATATTTTAGCACAAATTTTTTATTCCAAATTTTTTTTTTTTGAAGGGAAGAATACAATTAAAATTATAAAAAATAAAAATTAATGGACTATTTCAATGAACTTATATATATATTAAATCGCAAAGGAAGTTTCTGTGTGTAACGCTCAAATAGGCATGCCAAAAATTTTCGAGTAACTTAAATCACAAGATTAATATCCAATTATCGAAAAATATTATTTATAATTTATATATTTTTGATTTTGTATTTTTATTATTTTTATATACTAAAATACTATTTATAATTTATATATTTATATTAAAGGTTAATAAGTATTATAAGTATTATTATTAGGTATTGCTAATTATTACTAATATATATTAAATTTATATTAATTTTCTCGGCATTTTTTAAATTTTTCATTTTCTCTACTTTACGTGCTACTTAATTCGATTCAAGTTCCCATTCCTCTGATAAGGTATTCAACATTTCTTTTAATTCTCAACTGGTTGATTCATTATGACTTAGAATTAAAGTTTTTCTTCTTAATTTACGGGTAGGTTTATTTATATTACGTACACCTTGACTAAAACTACAATGATAACAATAATTAAAACAGTAGCGCAAGAAACAGATTTACATACGACATTATTATTTCTTGTTACAACCGCAACTTTTTAATAAATTTAATAATAAAAAAAATAATAATTAGTTTATAATATTTGAACATTTTTTTTTTTGAAAAAGAAAATTTACCTGGAGGAGGTGCTGATCTTTGCATTACAATTTGTGTTTGCGGTGGAGGTGCTGGTTGGCTATTTACAACAATCACATTATTACTTACCGCCTTTGGTTGCTGTTGATATTGTTGAGGAGGAGGAGGTTGAGGTTGCTGTTGATATTGTTGAGGAGGAGGTTGAGGTTGCTGTTGATATTGTTGAGGTTGCTGTTGATATTGTTGAGGAGGAGGAGGTTGAGATTGTTGAGGTTGCTGTTGATATTGTTGAGTTGGTGGAGGGTAATTCTGAGATTGAGGGTAATTCTGTGATTGTGGAGGGTAATTCTGTGATTGTGGAGGGTAACTAGGTTGAAGATGTGCAGCATAAACTTGGCTAACGGGGATTTTGGAAGAATTTTGTTGATATTGCGAAGAGTCCAATTTGGAAGAATTTTGTTGATATTGCGAAGGGTCCAATTTGGAAGAATTTTGTTGATATTGCGAAGGGTCCAATTTGGAAGAATTTTGTTGATATTGCGAAGAGTCTGACGGATATTTTTGATGCATTATTGATGTAGTCTCTGTCTGTTTGTTCTCGCCCACGCCCATTGGTGGTGTTGTGCCCGCCGATAGTTCTATACCCATTGGCGGAGTTATTTTTAAACTATTATCAGTAGGATTCTCAGAGACATTTGGAACTTCTGTTGTCATTTTTAATTAACTTTTGTTTCAAATGAAATGTGAAAGCTCAAGATTTTTTTTAATTTCAAATTATAAATTAGGTTGTAAGTATATAAATTTGTAAAAGTATAAAAGTTGAATTTAAGCTCCGGACTCGTATTTATGACTCCGAGAAAATTAAAAATGGCGTTCGTGCGACATAAACGTACATAATCTAGGCCAAAAAAAAACCATATAAAGATATTTTTTATTGACATACGATACTTGTCCATACAAATAAATATAAATATACAATATGTGAAAATTTTTTTTTTTTTTTGGATTTGTATTTTGTGAATTTGTGAAATATAAATAATGTTAAATTAGAAATATTTTGGTACAAATTTTTTATTCAATTTTTTGAAGGGGAGAGAGAATAAATGTACAATTGAAATAATTGAAATACAATCAAAATATACAATCGAAATCATTAAAAAATAATTTTTCATTACAAATAATCTACACCATAACTATAATATTTACCCAAAAAAAAAGTTCAAGCAAGTAGTGGAATTCGGGATTTTATTTCTTGGATTTTTTATTCGTTTTGTCTACTTTAATTACTTTGAAAACTTCACACTCTTCAATATCAAAGAACATTTGAGTTAAATAAGGAGTATAGAAAGAGGGCATATAAGCTCCACTTTTATATTCCAATATCAGGCGTAAGTCTCCAAAACATGGTCCATCTTCTGATAAAAAATTGCGATATAACGTATCAAATCTACTTAATTTACATCGTATTGACTTTGATGTGTAACTTCGATTATCGAAAAAGAAAATGAAATTATCTTTAACGCTTATTCCATCATGCTGATAAGTACTACTCTTATCTGTGCGAAGTCCGTGTGGATCATAACCTCCAATTAAACATCGTTGTCCGGCAACTTTTGCTACTGCAAGGGTAGGTCCCATTTGATCACATTTTTCGGCATAAGAATGAATCCCATCACGAGATAATTGATAAATAAGTTCAAAATTATATCTACACGGAACTTTTGGATGATTTTCATCATGTTTTGTTCCAATCCATTTTATAAAATGTGCAGCATGTTGGTGATTTATAATGTTGGAGTTTTTAAGGCCATGAGAACCTCGAGACTTATATTTGGTTAAATACCATTTGAGAGCAGCGTTATCAAAACCTTGAGATAATATTTTTCCATAAGGCAAAACTTTTGAATGTATATCATTCCTTGACATTTCTGAAAATTGAATTAGAGGGATAAGATTTTGAAGTGACATTCCAAGTAACCCAAATTCTTCATCTGACCATCGCTTTATAACTTCTTTGTCAAGATTGGGACGTTGACTCAATGCCCATTTGATAATAAGATCCCAACGAGTAATGTGATCAAATGCCAAGTTTTTTTGACTAAGGAATCCTGCCATAACATTTTCTTCCATACAAGGTAAATCTTCTGCTTCTAATAGCCATTCAGCGTTAGCATTAATTTTGTTGACTAAAGGTTCTCGTAGCTTTTTATACGAATCCATTCCAAATATTGTGCTCATTACTGGAATACAATCTTGATCGATCCAGAAATCCATGCCTTCTCCAATGTCATCAGGTATGGCTTCCAAAAGGTCATCAAGCATGAACTCATCTGAAGCAGTAAAAAGTCCGTATATTTCGTCTTCATCCAGGTTATCCAATTTTAGAACACCTATGTACAAATATCTAAAAAATAAATAAATAAATAAATAAATATATATATATATATAATATCTGTCAAATATTCCAAAGATTGATATAATAAAATGCAAATATAAATTATCATAAATATCTAAATTTAAGAATTTACCTTAAAATTATTTCAAAAACTTTTGGTTTTACATTTGGTTTTTCAATATAAAATTTATCACCATTATCTTTTCTTGCCCATTCATGCGAGAGAGCAATTCGAAAATAGGCAGAACGAGAACTCAAGACAGTTGATTCAGCCTTAAATTCTCTCACGTCTGGTTCTTCACCGACTTTAATGATTGTGTCATAAATTCCATCCCCAAAATCGCAAAGATCATCATCAATTTTTACATTTTCTATCAGAGAAGTATCGTTTTCAATATTATTGTAAATATTATTATCAATATTATTTTCATTTTCAATGTCATCATCATTATTATCATTTTCATTATTTTTTTCATTATTATTGTCATTATTATTGTCATTATTATTGTCATTATTATTATTTTCATTAATAATTATGTTTGATTCAAAATTGTTTTCTAAAATCTTATTTACTTCATTCTTTATTTCGTTTTCATCGTTTTCTGAACTAATATTTACATTTTTTAACAAAAATTCAATATCATCATGACTATCAAGGATATCTTGTTTTTCATTAAACATTTGAACGGAATTTAAAGAAGTAAAAGTGGTAACCATTGAGAATTGTAAAAATTTGTCAAAAATTGAAGGAAAAATAGGAGTGATTTTAGTAGTTATATCGTTATATCATTTATTCTTGTGATACATGTACCTGGGAATTTAAGGTAAAAGATTTCCCCCAAATTTTTTTTAAGAAAAAAAAAAAAGTAACTTGATACAGTAGATCGATAAACAATCGGGTGGCGGTCGGGTGAAACCTAAGAGAAAAAAAATCTTTTTTTATCATTTTCCAGAGTACGAAATTTGATCTGCTTGCTATAGAATTCATTGTGCATCCTCTTTGTTATTAATTCTACTAAAGATAGGAATTTGGCGTGCATTATAAATTATTTGATACAAAGATTATTTAATATATGTCAAAGATTTCTTAACGCGTATTCAGTGATAATACAGCAATTCTTTTAAGTTCTTTTAATTCTCTTTGTTTAACAAAAATCATAATACAAAATACAAATAATTGTGATATTCTAAATTAATTTGATATAGTACAACTAATCATTATATTTTATATATTTTCTTGCATTTTTTCTGTAAAATTTTGACTTGTGAAATTCAACATCACATTCAAAAGAATTACTATAAAAAGTTTGATAAAAAAGTTGCAGGTTAATTTTGGTTTCTACATGCACCTTGATGATATTGTAACTTGTATTGTAACCTGATATTGTATCTTTATATTGTGGATATGCAATTTGACTTTAAAATTTTTTATTGAAAGATAATTTCAGTAAGATTCAATTCATTATTATCTTTCTAAAAACACAATCATTAATAAACTAAATGTGAGCGTTGTTTCAAGATTTCTCTTAATATACCTTTTAGCATATTTTTAACTTTTCTTTATTGTTAGATTCGAAATCAAATAGGAGATTAATGTCAAAAATATCAAAACCTCCATAAATCACTGAAAAATTTCATTTGATTCGGCGTATATAATAATCCTATTTTTCACGTTTTACATTTCCTTTAAAGACTTTTAAATTTTTTCTTTAATTCAAAGATCAAAAAAGAATGCCCGTAAAAAATTCACGAGAACGAATAAAATAAATTATATATTATTTGTTATTGTTCAGATATATTGTTCAGGTGAATCGATTCCCAAGTAACACTAAAGTCACATAAATTATGTCACAAAATTCAAATATTTAGTTTTTGATTGCAGACGTGAGAAATATTATGGATTTTGGCATTAGAATTTGCGGTCGATAGAACAATTTAACTTTCCCCACAAAACTTTATTTTTTTGTTTTTATTATGAAGAACAATGTTGAAAGATCCCATTGTTTGTGTTTACCGTATTATTATTAATATTTTCATTAGAAATAAGGTTTGTAATTTGTTTTTATTCATGTAAATCTTGTTTTTAGGCAAAAGCGGAGTGATGAGATAAGCCTCTTAGATCATCTACAAAACTTTAATATTTTTTTATATCTAAAATTGATGAAATGGCAAAGAAATCAGTTCTTAGCAGGTTATAAAATTCTATGCATTTGCAAAAAAAAAAAAATAAACAATATAAAACTTTAAAAATTTGCATAAAATTTAGAAGTTTCTCAAGCAGGATCGAAAAACAAACTTCATTGCTCATTCAGCATAAAATATCATGTGGGTAATACTATAAGAAATTAATTAATTAAATTGTAGTTCAAAAATAAACTTAATGCCAGAAATATCTTGGAAAATCTCCGCAATAAAAAATTTTATTACTCTGGAAAATTCCGTAGATTTTGACCTCCCTGATGTGCTTGAAGATAAAAAAAATTATGACTTATCTATTTGACTTCTGAGAAATTTCTTTTGATTTGACCAATGTTGTACATTTGACTGCTCCGTGTCTGCAAGATAAGGTATGTCACGTGAGTTGTGTATGGACATGTTGACATTACAAATAACACTTCTAAGACATATCTATATTACTTCTCAGAAGTTGTCCTCCCGAATCCGTCAAATTATTAATGGAAAAAAGCAAGTTCGCTTAAATGGTGTGTCTATCTTCAGAACGTTCAAATATACAACACGGAGGGACACAAATGCGAATCATTCATTCTAGTTGTTACTCCCTCCTTTTCGCTGCAATGTCAATCACACAAGGTGTAACTTGCAACTGAATTGGTTCCCCATGACTCCATTCGTGAAGAATATAATGTGATTTTAAATTCCTTTTCCATATTAACTTTACCTTGTTTTGTTTCAGCATGCATTCTTTGACCTAAAAAAGGGTTGGCTCAAAATCTACATGCATGACATGTTATTCTTTATCATATTTTATTAATTAATTTTTGGATATTGTGATTTTTCCAATCTGTGACTAGAGTGTGATTAATGAAAGAAAGTTTATCTTAAACTTAATTGCTAATTCTAAGAAGCAGAACATTAGATTAGATTTTCTAATGGAATAAATTCTTTTACTTAACAAGTATACATAATTTAAGGGTGGGACTAGTGTTTTAATTTTAATTTTTTCAAATTTCACAGTATTAGAGTTATTTAATTTTGAAAAAACAGAAAAGACAAAATTTTCTTATTTTTTGCGTCAATTAGAAAAATATTATAGGTTTTTTTTAAATTGTTTTTCTTAATATAAATTTGAATACTTTATTGAACAAAATGGTGAAGCTAAAATTTTAGCCAATGTAAAATTATGCTAAATACTTGTACGAAAATCTCATTCTTAAAATTTTTTTCACTATAGCAGATTCGATAGTTGGATCAACAATTAATATAAAACTAAAAATATTTTATAGCCAATCAGACAAATAACGATTTATTTAATTATATAACTAACTATTCGCCCCAAGAATTAATTTATAGTAGCTATCCCAACCAATAGATAGATAAGGCCGACCCCTTCTTCGTTTTACAATACTAAAAATAATGGATTTTCAGATGATGTAATGAATTGCATAAAGGAGTTCGCGCAAATTTTTCACAAGTGTGCACTTTTCATAATTACGAAATTGATTTTAGGAAATTATTTGTCAAAAAAAAAAGGCACACGCAATTATAGTTGTCTGTACGCGGTCTAAAGTTTTGCATTTATTTGTAGGAATTATTATTTTTTATCAAAAAAAAACGAAGTTGGTAATCCAATTTTTAATTAATTCTCCATTCTAATAAGCATCCTCAAAATTAAAAAAAGAAAAGTTTCTCCTGAAAAAAAATAAATAAAGTTATATTATTAGCCATTAGACAAAAATTTGTTTATGTTCCTTGATACAAGAACTTTATTCGAAATAATTTTTATGCATGATGATGGTTAAGGGTTTTTTATGCATGTTTTTCTATGTAGATCACCAATAAATTTATTCAAAACTTTAAAAGGCAGCTTTTAATCCATTATAAAGATTTGAAATTTAGTCCGATGTGTGCATTAATTACGTGTAATACTATAGAGAGGCTAGAACATGACCTAATGATCTAGTAATAGAAATACATTGTACTGGAAGTCAATCGTTTTATTGAAGAGAGAAGAACTTCTATGATAGAAAAAGCCGTTAGGATGAAACTCAGCATTATTTATTAGGTGAATTGTTTAAATCAGATTTCTCTTCGCTTGTTGAAGGCTATTGACAGTTAGAAACAAATTTAGTGCAGGATCAAATTTTTTGTAAATACCAAGAGTCGGGATTGGACATTTCGCCAGCTTTATTTCCGAATTAGTTTAAAAACCAAGTGTTGAGGCCATTCCTTTTCCGGATGGACTGAATTGACTGAATTGATCAACTATAGTCAACTTGCATATTGCTTACATAATTAACCCGGAGAAAATTTCCATCACGATTTTTTTCGTGCAAATTTTCATCTCATAAAAATTTCCTAATCTGAAGTTCACACCTATCACATTTAAATACTTTATTTCCACCCAAATTTCTTTTGATATATCCACAATTACTACAAGTTTTACTTGTATAAACTTTAGATACAGAAGTTATTACAATTCTATCAAGTTCTTCTGCTTTAGATATCAATCGATTTCTAAATCTAACATATTTCTAACTGTCTTACTATTAATTTTTCTTTCTTGTCTTTTTTGTCTTTTAGACATTTGTTTACTATTAAATTTTGATAAAACAATTATGTCAAAAGTCTGAGTTAATCATGATGCAGTTTTTTTATACATTTCATTCACTAAATTTCTGATACATACATTTTTTTGATGATACTTTAGTGGTATGTGAAATGAAGGTATCAAGAGTAAGACCTAGACAAAAATTATAATTGATATCCTTATCACCAATGTTTCTATGGCCAATTGTAGGTGAATACCAAGTAAAAAAGTGTGAACTCAGGATTTCATGGATAGACTTTCCATGCATCCATATAAATGTTCAACATCTTAATTTTTTTTCATACATTAATTTTGAGTTCATTTTAACTTGGCCTTTCTTATTTGACCAATTATTACTATGTCTTTGAAATTCATGATGAAATAGTGACTTTGTGCTGTGAATGTTTGGGATCAATAACGAATAGCATAATATTAACTAAATCTTATAAAATCTTTGTAAATCAACGTTTCTCTAAATAAGATCACATATAAAAGGTAAAAAAAAAGCTTTAAATTTTGTTTACTGTAATATTTATTTTTGAATATTCAGAAACGATCAAAGTTACCCAAAAGGAGTGTAATCAACCTTCCAAAAAAAAGAAATTTATTCGATTTAGTTGTGTTGGCATCGTTTACATTAAATTCTTTATTTCACAGTTTATGGAATCAATTATAAACCTAATCAATACAGCCCTAAGTCAAAATTTTTTATTGATGCACATAAGTGGTCATTTTGAATTCTTACGCGAATAAATAATTTATTTTTAAAGTTCGAAGATATATTTGTTCTAAAAAATGTTTGATCCAGAAATAACCAACCTTGTCGCCGATATCTGATATCAGAACAATAGAATTTTAATGCCATTCACTGCACACGTTATAAAGATTATTTTTAGCTCGTAATTAGTCATGAAATTTGATTTTTTTTTTCATGCTTAATTTATCTTCATTTTATTAATTATAGGACACAGAATATTTTCAGCCTGTATTGAGTCAACAAAGGCAATGATGAAAATATAATTTTATATATTTTGATTTACTTTATTTAATAGTAACGAATTGGTAAACTCATTCGCGTTTTTTTTTATAAAAACAAGTAAGTGCTGGCCTTTCAGAAAAAGAATTCGATCAAACAGTCCACTGGTTATGGGCAAATAAGATAAGCATATTCAAAATATCTTTAAATCTTATTAATCTTATTTAGTAAGTCCACTTATTATGTAAGTTTATATTTTACAAACTAACTGTATCTTCCTGATATTTCATTTATACACTTTATCTATACCCTTTATATGCATATATATGCCCTTTATATGCTTATATTATTATACACTTTATTTCCGAGATCAGCAATTAAAAACTTTATTTTTCTAACATATCATGTGATTCAAGATTTTTCAAAAAAAAAAAAACATTTATTTTTTTTTAAAATAATAAATTTAAATTAAAACGCATAAATTTAACTACAAATATTCTTATTTAGTACCAATAAAGTATTTTCATTTAATTGGTTTCCAGATTTATGCGTCATTTCATTACTTTATATGACTTGTGATTATAACATTAGCCGTTAAAATTGGTATATTTGACACTAAAGGTTCTTATTGCATATTCAAATATGAAATTTTAAACAAACTTTACATAATTGGTTAATAAAATTTATATTGTATTAAATCTTAATCTGTAAAGTTGCATACAAATAATGTCACGATTAATTTTTAAGCGTTGCATAATTTGTATTAAATGCACAACGTGTACCTCTCAAGATTGAGTATTAAATATAAAATTTATAAAATATATTCCTGTTTCTAAATTTTTTTAATTCAAACAAACAAAAAACTCCATGTCATTCTTTTAAATCTTTCTGTCGTTCTTTTCTGAAATTTCTACTTACCCAACCAATATTCCTTCTTTAATAAACTACCTTATTACTCCCAATAGAAGGATGTTTAAATTATATAAAATACTACATCAAAAATCGAAATTAAATAAATTCTTCCATTAATCTCTTTAAACTCTTATTTTATATAATTTTTACTTTTAAACTTTACTTTCTTTAATTTTTTGTTATTTTTCTAATTAAGACTCAACAAATTGATTTATAACTAAACAGATCAACATCTTGGATACTACTTGGTTTACAAATGCGCGGGCAAGCACCCGAGTAATATTAGTAATATTTCATACACTTATAGACTTTCTAATAAACACATTATACTTTATATTTATTAGAATAATTACTCCTTTTACTCAACAATTCCCGAGTTTTCTTTTATTATCTATTCCTTATTTTCAAACCTTTTCTTTTTTATATCGTACTTCACCCTCTAAATCAATATCAAGAAACATGGTCGCTTCAAACGTGCAGATCGGTAAATATTCAAAAATAAAATTTAATTAATTAAATGTTGTTACCCTATACACTATATATAACATTTTATCTTCATTATAGCACTTCGCATAAGAGCATTATCTGCTGAAGAATTGTTGTCTGTACCAGCTAGATTGCAAAAAAATGTATTATCCACATCACCTTTTGCACCAAATCAAGTTATAGTTCAGGGTGAAAGAAAACAAGTCTTTTCATTCGACAATGTGTTTGCTCCGGAAGTCTCTCAGAAAGAAATATATGATCGTGTTGTAATGAACATGATTGACAAGGTCATAGAAGGTAAGCTAATATATGATATCATTGTATCTTTCTTTCTTCATATAACATGTATAACATATGTAAAGTATGTAATACAATTTACTGAGATGTTTTAATGTTTTTTTCTTGATTATTCTTAGGATATAACGTAACAATTCTATCATATGGACATGCTTCATCCGGCAAATCTCATACATTAGGAATTTCGGATGGCGTCTCTTATACGCGTGAATCAAAAGGAATAATCCCACGTGCTATGTCCACATTAATCTCTTATATTAATTCCGCGCAATACAAAAAAAGAAAATATTCGATGCGAATTTCATTCGTTGAAATAAATGACGAAAAAATCATTGATCTTCTTAGTGAAGATAATGATAAAATCAAGCCCCAAATTTTGATCCGAGATGAATCAAATGGTCAAATACTCTGGAGCGGTCTACAAGAAATTAAGGTTAATAGCTTAGAAGAAGCAATTAAGTAAGAAATATTATTAATTTTAATTTTTCAATCGAATAATTTGTTTTCTAACATTTTTAGTATATAATAGTATTTTATCACGTGGAATGCTAAATCGTCAAATCAACACGTCAAGGTTGAATGATCGTTCTTCGCATAGACATACAATATTCTCTGTAACACTATCTCAACAAAAATTTATTCCAGTAAATGGAGATTCCGTAAATTCTTCTAATCTTTCTCCTAGTATGTTATCAAGCAAACAATTCTCTGGATCCAAGGAGATTAATAAACAGTACGAAGGTGATTGGGTTACTGTAACAAGTAAATTACATTTCGTGGATCTTTCTTGGAAAGATATGGTTAGTCTCTTACAATTATTTACAATTATCAATTGTCATAATTATATTTTCGTATATACTCATAATGTAATTTTATAATTTAATTATCAGGACAAAGATATCCCTAAATCTATTATCCTTCCTATTAGCCATGTGATTAGTAATTTAGGAAAGAAGACAGAAGAGGTATCGGAGACACCCCGATCTATTAGCAATGCACAAAATTGTCCTCCCATATTAAAAGAATACCTTGGTGGTAATGCTAAAGTATTAGTAATATCTTGTGTTTCACCCGCAGCTTTCCAAGTCAAAGAAACCATTAATACTCTGGAATTTGCTACCCAAGCACGTAATAACAAAGATACAACAGTAATACATCAAGAAATTGGTTGGTATAATGTAGAACATTTGCAAGATCTTGTATTAAAACTTAGAGCTGAAGTAAAGACATTGCAAGAAAACGGAACAAATTCTCTTAATACCCCAGTGAATGAAAAACAGCGACGTAGATCTTCTATTCTGGCTAATATTTTAGTAAATAGTAATATTTTGCAAAATGAGAAAGATTCTACAAATTTAGACGATAAAATTTCCTTAGCTTCTCTAGATTTGCCGAAAATTTTAGAAGGTGAAACCCTAAACCAAGGATTAGGACCTATAATTGAAGAATATGAAAAATCGATATTATCTCTTGAGAATCAACTTTCCCATGTTCGTGCCGCTTTAGCATATTCCGAGAATGCATTACACCTACAGGAAGATAAATTAAAGGATACAGAAGAAACAAATAAACAAAATATGCACACTATAAACGATCTCAAAAATCATATTGCTAAACTGAATGAACGAAAAGAGACCACTGAAAGTTACATAAAAGATCTCGAAGCTAAACTTGAATCACTTGAGCCAGAACACCAGAAAGAAAAGGAAATTATTAATTCTGAACAAAATATACCCGATAATACAAAATTAATCAAATCATATGAAAATAAATTAGAACAAAGTCAAAGTAAAATTGTAACGATGACTAAATCAATCAAGGATCTTAAGAGATCATTAGAAGAAAACAATGATAAGTATCAAAAATTAGAAGAAAGATTCTCGAAACAAAAGAAAAATGATGAAAAAGAAAAGAAATATTTAGTTGAGGAGATTGAATCGCGTGATGATATGGTTGCAGAATTAGGAAAGAAAATTGAAAATTTAGTTGATGAAATCACATATCTCAAAGAAACTCAAACATCCGATTCAACTAATTCGACTAATTCTTTCACGGAACAAGTAATTTCTAAAGAAGTCATTTTGGAATCTAAAGTCACCATCACCGGTAAAGAAGAAGAATCTGAAGTATCAAATGCTGAACTTTTAGTGGCTATCCAAAAATTACACAAAAGACTTGCGAAATTTGAGGAAGAAGCCATGCAAAACCAACAATTAATTGATACTTTAGAAGCTACATTGATTGAAAATGAGGATAGCTTGATAGCAGCGAATAAAAAATTATCAATACTTCAAAATCGCGAAGACGGATTATTAAAACAAATCAAAGCTTTGAACTCCCGGGTAGAAGAAGCCAATGATGAGACGGAGAATGCAAAATCAGATTTGTTTTCAGCCAAACAAACCATGGAAAGAACATTGGTGGAAGAAAGAAAATCCAAAGAAAATCTAAAATTCCAACTAAAAGAGGCAAGAAACGAAGTAGAAAACAAAAAAGCCGAAATATTGTTAGTTAAACAAGAGGAGAAGAAAATTAAAGAAAAAGCGGAAATGTCAAGAATTACACTTGAAAATGAACTTGAAAGACTATTGTCCAAGAAAAAGAAATTTGGGTGTTTTTAAATCAAAAATATTTCTTAATATTTAATTATTAATTAACATTTATTATATAATTTATAATTAATACTCATTTAATTTATTTAATTTATTTAATTTATTTAATTTCGAATATATATATATTTTTTTGATGAAAACTATGAAATATGATAACTGAAAACAATCATGAAAATTTTTTTTTAATTTTTAATTTTTAATTTTTATATTTGAAGTTGTTCTAGTTATATATATATATATATATATATATATTATGTATGTGAAAACAGAATTGACTGTAATTGACTGTCAAATTTATAATAATGTATTTCCCATTCATCATATATTCTCATATCATATATATATATATGTTAAAAGAATTCTATCATCATTATTATTGTAGAATATTCTTAAGCATTTATTATTATATTATTAATTATTTAGATATTGGTAAATAAAAAAAACGAACTCAATTTACGTTTTATTCTTAACTATTTTTTTGAATAATTTGATTAAATGTTGTATAAGTTACTAAATACAGAGATTATATGTGAAAAAAAAAAAAAAGATCTCGCTTAAATGCATGATTAATTTTACAAATAGTTATTGTATAACATATGTCACATGGATTCACCAATAAAAACCACATTTTTTTATTAACATTTTTTTCTTTCATATTCTCCAGAAATGCAGAAATGGCCGCTTTTCTACCACACCTTTGTCTACAAAATATATTTCAACATTTCTCGCAAGACTTAAAAACTTTATATTCATGTGCTCTCGTTAATACTCATTGGTGCATTGCAACGATTCCTGAATTATGGCAAGATCCTTTTAAGTCTTGTCACAAATTACGTGAACCAATTCGACTCGCTCCTTTGGTGAACACATATATTTCATTTCTTTCTCCAGCAACAATTAAAAGTCTTGGTATTACCCCAAAGATACAACAACCAACCTTTTTCAATTATCCCGTTTATTTACATAACATTAACTTAAATTTAATTCATGGAAGTATTGAATATTGGAAAAGTCCTGTCGGTGATCAAGATAGTAAAGATACTGAACAAGTATTAGTTGAATTAGAAAAAATTACACAATTATGTAAAGTTTTATGTGAATATTTTTTATGTCATTCATCTAGGATTGATCATCTTGACATTTGTTATACAAATTGGGATATTTTTCAACTTGAAGGGGCAAAGAAATCTTTATCAAAAATTAAGAGTTTTGAATTTGATGGTGATTGTTTTCCTAATCAACTTAAAACTCTTACTTCTATCAATAATAATATTCAAGATTTAAGTGTTACTTTAATCGGTTTTGGTGATAAATCTAAAATAATTGAGGATATTGTTACTCTTATTCAAGCACAAAATAATTTATGTAGTATAAGAATTAATATTACTTTCACATCTTCATTTCAAAATCTTTGGGATAATCTCTTCATGTCTCCACAAGCGAATTCTATAAAAACTATTGAATTTAGAGATATTATATTTGATTCTTTTAATACTTTTTTACCTTTACAATTATCAAAATTTAAAAAGTTAGAGAATTTAAGAATTTATAAATGTAGAAATTTCGACGGTGATGTTCGAGAAGTTAACGACCTTTTGGCATTTGTAAATCTTTACCAAATTCGTGTGGAAAGAATAAGTTTAAAACCAGAATTTTTCCATTTATTACTTAAATCAGGAAACAATCTTACTGAAATAGAATTGTTAGATCAAATAATTGAGGGATTTGATGAAATAATAAACTGGTGTGGAATTTATTGTAAGAATCTTACAAGATTTGTTGCATCAATTCAAAAGAATCAAATTCATAATATCATCGATCTTTTACAAAAATGTCCAAATTTAGAATATTTTCATGTTTATGATGTAAAGCTTAAATTTGAACATGAATATGATCCATGGCCAGAATATTCCCCTCCTGAATTGTTATTTTTCCCCGCAAGTGAATTAATGAAAGAATTTGGGGAAAAAATACCGAAGAAAATGAAAGTTATTAAAATTTGGATGAATTGGTTGATTACTTTGGAAGAACTCGAAAAATTTGTAGAGAGATGCGTGAGTAATGCATTAAATTTAAAAGTTATGGAATTCAGACACTGCGTCGGATTCGGAAATTCTCATCGGGATGTTATCAAAAGATATTTATGAAAGAAATTTAGAAAGGAATAGAATGATGATTAATTACTGGATTATCTATATTTAGAAACAATTTTTTAAATCACCAGTTCCTTAAATCATCAGTTCCTTAAATAATCAGTTCCTTAAATAATCAGTTCCTTAAAATCATTTCCTTAAATCATTTGTTAAAATCATTTCTTTAAATCATTTCTTTAAATCATTTGTTTAAATCAGTTCTGTAAATCATTTGTTTAAATCAGTTCTGTAAATCATTTTCTTTAAAAGTCCATGTATATTTTTACTGTATTTATTCTCAATTTATGGGGCCAAAATTGAAATTTTCTGAGATACAATTTTGGCTAAATTAGATTTTAAATTTCAATCCAAAAATTTTGGTGATTTAGTATAACATGTATTAATAAATTTTAGAATATTTTTTTATACTAACATTTATACAGAAACGGTAATAAAAATAATAAATAAATTAATTCATGTGATAATGTAATCTTTTTGTACTTTTTGACTCATGTTTCGAGTTTAAATAATATAATAATAATTGGAAAAGATTAACTACTTGGCTTTCTCTTATTTGTTTGATATTTTCTTTCTAAATTGGCATCAAAAATTTTAATTATGTTGCTATTGCGTGTTACTATGGAAGCTTTTTACGAAACACAAATTTCTTGTCTTGTCTTGTCCTACATAAATTTTTGGTAATGCTAATGCTTAATGAAACTTATTATTTTGACTATTACTTATAAAGATAACAGATTTCTCTCAATTTCCAACAATTCTTTTTTTTTTTTTGCACAAATATATATATATATATTTATTTATTTATTTATATTTATAGGAAGACATGCCATCTATATCTGACAAAAAGTCTGGTACAGCTACTTTCAAAGAAAACAGTGATTCCACTACCGAAAAAAAGTTCAAGAACATCACTAGAGCAGCTTCAAAGAAGTTATCCAAGATTCGCCAACGTATATCAATTCGTGACCAAAATGCAGAATCACCGATTACAATTCAAGATGAAAAAAATTTCGGTTTATTCTCACAAGACTATTCAATTTTGGAAAATATGAAAATAAATCATGATAATAATAATATTTCAGATGACAAAAACGGAAATATTCATCTCAAACGAAATTCTTCATTAGATAAAGTAAAAAAAGCGGTAAAACGAATTGCTGGTATTGGGAAGGAACGTAAGGGTCATTCGGAAGCGTATCATCAAGATGGAAAGACAAATCCCTTCGAATAAAATTATCTAAACAATTCCCTATAATTCTCGTTGTACCCGACAATCTTTTTATTTTTTAAGTTTAATGTCTGTAAATTCTGTAAATAAATAAACATATTAAATATGCAGATATGCAAACATGAAAGTTGGTTTTATTAAATGAAAAAACCCAAATAAATCACTCTAATCTAATATTGTATTCTTTATAACAAAGAGAAATAATAAAATAATAGTATTTTTTTTTTTATTCTATAAATAAAAAATAAAAAAACAGATCAATTTTCAAAAAGATTTTAAGGCATTTAGTCACGATTTTCGTTTAGCTTATATATATATATATAATAATAATACATTGTCCAAATATGAATGATAAGGGAAAACCATCTTAAAAATGTTTGTTTACCAGTCCAGTTTAACAATTAACAATTCTAAAATAAATTATTTCATATGTAACAGAAAATTAATAATTTATGTATCAATAAAATTTTCGTAAAAATGTACAAATTAATTACTCTTGGAAGGAAAGTATGTAGTCAATATGCAACAAATTTTATACTAGACCCTTAACAATATTAATATTTATATATTTTTTCACGATATTTTTTTTTCTTTCATTTTCTTTTGAATCCCATCGAATTTCATAAATTCGTCAAAGAGGAATAAAAATGTCTCAAAATACAACTATTTACAATCCTTACGATGATCCATCCGTTCCTTATGTAGAACCACCAGAAAATCCATTATTTCATGATACTCTTGTTGTATGGAAACATAATAATATATTTAAAAATTTAAATATTTATTTAAGTGTAGTAAGCATGACAGGAGGTTTCATAGTATTAGTTATAATCACTGCAATGTGGTTATATAATAAAAAGCTAGTAAACCGTGTTTCGCTCAGACTTACTGCTATGATTTCTTTAGTAGACATATTTACTGGGGTTACTATGATAGAATTTGCAACGTATTTAAAAAAAGACACAACAAAATGTACAATAATCGCTTTGGCAATGTCTTTTTGCACTCAGTTTTATTTAATTTTAACTGCAATGATAGCATTTAATTTACAGGTAAGTATTTTTCATTAACATTCATTTATTAATGTAGTATAAATACAATGTTTCATTGTTAACATTATTTCTCGTATTTTATTATTACTGAATATTATTTTATTAGATACTTTTTCTTCATCGTAAAAAGGTCTCCACGTTTCCAAATAAATGGTATACACCTCTCGCCTTCTTAATTGTTAGTGCTATAAATATTCCTCCTTTGGTCTATAATCGGTTTGGATATGATTCTTTTGGACAACATTGTCTTTATCGAAATCCAAATGCTAGAGAAACACAAATATGGAAAATTGTAACTTTTATTATTCCAGTCTCGTTAACATTAATCTATTGTACAATAGTCTTTATTTTTGTTATTTGCAAAATTATATTTGAACATCGTAAACTAGCGGAAGTAGTTCATTCTCAAAGTACGTCAAGCTTGACGGCTAAAGCTAGGAGACAAAAGAAACTTTTATTAAAATTAGTAAGTCGTATTGCCATGTATGCCCTGATCCCACTTTTAAATATTACTGGAATTGTTGTTTCATATAGTTGGGTGACAATTCATAAAAACGAATTATTACCCTTGTGGTTATCTTATTGGGGCATTATTGGATCGTGTTTACCAGGTTAGATTTTTTTTTTTTAAATTTATTTATTTATTTTTTTTTTATCAAATTCAATCATAGTAATAATGAACATGGCATTTATTTGATAATAGGATTTTCTAATTGCGTCGCGTTTCTTTTTGACCCTGCTATTCATAATGCGTTACGAAAAGTTAAAAGAGATCTTATTGATAATTATGGCTGTGATAAATCATTATGTTCAAAATTTACAGTCACACTCGATAGCCCTCCCCAATCCAATGCATTCATTCCACATTCCTCATCACATCCCTCTAGAAATTCTAGAAATTCTCACTTACCTCCCACACCTTCTGTTCATTCATCAGTAGTATCTCCAGCTTATTTTTCTTTCCCATCCGAAATAGTTAATGATTGTGAAGTTAAGAAAAATAAAAAGAACAGATTTTTACGATGGTTTGTACGTACTTTCTTGATCAGAAAACAAATAGAACCTAATTCGATGACACAATCAAACTTTAGTAAACATAGTGGTGCTTTGTCCAGACAAAATTCAGAAATTGAAAATATTAATAGAGATAACTTACAAAATTTAAATATGATAAGTCCAATTGACAAAAAAAAAAAGAAATTTCTGAAGTTATCACAGATAGCCCCAATTCAAGAATCTTTTGTTACGACCTTCACGACAGCCACGAGTAATAGTTTTTATTCTAATAACTCTTGTCCAGGTAAATCATAAATCATAAATGTCCTAATTTGGTAACAATTACTTATTTTTATTTTCTTTTACAATAGAAAACCATACAATCAGTATGCACACAAATTCTACTCCTACAAGCATAATAGAAGTAGGTTCATCTTCAAGAAACCGATCTGATTCTATATCTTCTATCGCATCAAAAGATTCCGTTGATAATGATATATCAGTATATTAAATTTCCGAAGTATTAATTTAAAAATAGAAATAAATTTATAAAATTCTAATTTAATAACATATTACAGAAAATAACAACTGAAAAATCACTATATTATTTTTTCATACTTTTTATTCATAAAACCTTTTCGAGTAAAGACAACGACTTTGTTGTATATAGATCTATATAATTTTTAATTTAATAATTTTAATAATTTTAATTTTTCGCCAGGTGAATTTCTCACCCCATAATCCTATAATTGTCATATAGTGTCACACCGTCTGGATATCAATTTTTATTGGACGGTTTTTTAGAAAACCCTATTTATCGCATATATTTTTTACAGATAATCACCTGATTATAATTTAGTAATCACATGAAAGCAATTTTACTCGACTAAAAATAGGGGTTAGCAACTATTTCAACTCATCCTGGGTGAGGAATATGTACTTTTATACTCTATATGTACTTTTATACTCTTTTAATATTTAATAAAAAAATTTTCACGTGAAGTGAAAAAATGTTCGAAGAGTTAAAAAAAAAAAAAATAAACATCTGCTTATCGTGGGAATTATTCGACAATAACACTCTATATATGGCTAAATATAATTATTAGAACTTGAACATTTATCGATTGATAATTATATATTTAAAGAAAATCCGCATGGAACATTTCCACAGAGAATCACATATTTATCATATGTACATAATTAATCGATCTCTAATTTGGAGATATTAAATTTTTGTGGGAACGTCCTCAGTGTGGGGTTTAATGGCAAAAAAAAAATGCGGGATGTTTCACATGAGAAGAAATAGTAATGTTCACATACACAATAATCGATTACTTTACCAGGCTTTAAATTAAATAAATATATAAATTTAAATTTACGCTAACCGTTCTTGAAGGTAATTCTAAAGAATCAAAAGGCAATCACGATCATAAACAATTTCAAACGGATAGTCGAAGATCTTTTCTTATAAATGTACAAAAAATAGGGAGGTCAACATTTTTTTTATAAGAAGGAATCAAATCCGACGTCTATATTTTTGTTTAATAAATTTTACATTAAAGTAAAAAAAAAATTAAAATTAAAAAAATTAAAATTCTCGATTTCGTATAAATAAACATTTTAATTCAAATATATTTATATATTCAATATGGGTAAAGCTCATTCAAAAACCGCTCGACTCAGAAGTAAAAGTCAACCAAATCCAACAGATCCTCACATTCAAGAAGTTATTATTAAACGAAAATATTCTTCGTCTTATGCTTTACCATTGGATAATGACGAGGTAGATAGATTAACACTTCAGCATTATATCTTCTGTAATATATGGGGAAGCAATTTTTCTTCACCCGTTGAAAGTATATTAACTAATGGTGCTCAAGTTCTAGATGTAGGGTAAGTTTCTACATAAATACATTTTTATTATCTTGTTAACCCATTATTCCATTTTCCATTTTCCATTATCCCCTAATTTTGTTTTTGTTTTCTTTTCTTATAGATGCGGTCCAGGAGTTTTTTCGTTAGAACTTGCAAACAGGTATATTTTTGACATAAAAAATTGTAATTGATGAATTGAAAATTTTAATTAATTAAAATTAATTGTTCATGACAAAAATTACAGTTATCCAAAATCTAAATTCACGGGCGTAGATATTGTGAACAATTATCCTCAATCCATTAAACCTGAAAATACAACATTTATTAGAGCAAATGTTATCAATGGTTTGCCATTTGCGGACAATACTTTTGATTTTGTATACATGCGTTTTATGATGCTTGCTTTTTCGTTAAAAAATTGGCCACAAGTAATAAATGAAGTAAATATTTTTCGATTAAATATTTTTTCGATTAAATATTTTTATAAACGTTTAATTAAATTTTTTTTTTTTGGTAATTTTTTAGATGACCCGTGTATGTAAACCTGGAGGTTGGATTGAAGTGATGGAGAGGTAATATAATTATCAATTTTATTTTTTGCGTTGTATTGAATTTCTATTTTATTTTATTTTAAATTTAAATATATATCTATATGGATTTTTTAGAGATATTCTTTGGTTCAATGAAGGAGAAGTAGTGCATAATTGGAGAACAAAAAGTAAGCTTTAGTTCTTTATTTTTTTTTAAAAAAAAAAAAAAAGTGTGGTACGTAAAATCGATAAGTTTTTTACTTATATTTTTTTTATAAAATAGTTGTTGAAGGAATGAGAGAGAAAGGAATAGAACTTATTATAAGTCCATATATTTCTAATTTCTTTAAAGCAAATGAACAGTTAATAAATTTCAAAAGTGATGAAAGAATAGAGCCACTAGGTGCATGGGCTGGAATAATAGGTACGTTCTACTTTTTCTAATTCTTGTCTCTCATTGCATAAATTCATAAATTCATAAAATTTTATATATTTAATGGATATAAATAGGTAAAGCGTATTCACAAGTTATTATGTGGGGCGCAAAGAATCTAACTCATGCTGTATCAGGTATCCAATTCGAGGAGGGAGAATATGGAGAATTAATTAATGTCGCTATGGATGAACTTAATAAGAATCAATCTTTTGACAAAAGTCATCGATTTTGGGCAATGAAAAAACCTCTGTAAATTAAGCAAATTTTGTTTATTATATGTACAAAAAAAAAAAATTGTTCTCTTTATGCTATTTATCATTTATCATTTTTCATTTATATGTAATATATTTATAATTTCTTTCTTTGTACAGTAATTGTATATTTTTTGTTCATTAAAAAAAGTTCTGAATCAATTTGACGATGTAACAAGTTATTTATTAATGTAAATAAAACTCAAAAAGTATTTAAAGATGCATCACCAAACTATCAGTTTCGCCCTAACTTTTTTTTTCAAAATACGGGTTCTTTTAAATTATTCTTAGTGTCGTCAAACATGTCGAACCAACCTTTAAATCTCAACCAAACGATTAACATTGCCAATGCAGCAACTGCGACATAAATAAGATTTGGTCGATTTCTCGCACATTTTTCACATATTTTTTTCCATTCAATATTGGATTTCCCTGTGGTCAAATCTTTTTCTTTCTTTTCGTTTTTTTTATCCATTTCTTTTATTTCTTTTTCGAGAATGTCACCCGAATTCATTATACCTTGGTTTTATTTGTTGACGTGTAATACTAAATTTAATAAAACGACTCAGTTGTAGAAGACCACTATATCAGAATTTATTTATATTTTGAATATTTACCTAGGTATTATTGAAAATGTTTGATTTTGGAAGAAACACTTTTATTTATTATTTATAAATGTTTTCACTTAATTATGATATCATGACGATGACATATTACGTAAGCTTTTAACGTAAAAATGACATTCTTAAAATTTTTATTCTTTAATTGATCACCTACATATTACGTAATTACTTCATACAGTTTTACTCTTTTGGAACATTACTATTATCTATTATAGTTATTTTGCGTATTTTATTTAATACATTATTACGACGTTTAGAAAAATAATTCACTGAAGAAAGTTCAAAGTCATTAATTACTGTAGGTGATGATCGAGGTAATATATTCGAATTATTTGAGGTTAAAGGTACAAAATTGGAATTTCTAGGAGTACCAGGTGAATTTGGTGTGTTTGGAGGAACCTGAAGTACTTTTGGTGTGTTTGGTGTGTTTGGAGGAACCTGAGGTACTTTTGGTGTGTTTGGTGTATTAGGTATTGTTTTGGTAATTGGCGAAGCAACTGATGCAGAATCTGGTGTCTTTGGCGTATTTGGTGGTACTCCAAAATATGAAAATTGTTTGGATCCGACACTTTTCGGCGTTTGAGGATGTGATCTAGATAATATATGAATCTTTGATTTGGATAATTGTGGAGAATTTATGTAAAAGTAAGCCGAACCCATTGGTGTCGGTGGCTCGGCATAATCTAAAGGTTCAGTTAGAGGCGTGCTCGGAGTAGAACATGCCACGTGCCGAGATATCCAGTCCAAAATATTTGATTCACATTCATAATCTAAAGAATTGGTGTCATCATATAACAATTTTTCCCATTCTTCGTCATTTTTAATTTCATGTCGCCTATTGATTTCATCTGACGGTTTACCTCTGAAGAAAGATGCAATAATTTCTTTTGCTTCACTATCATTAACAGATTCCACTAATCTCCTTACAAATCTCCCAGGAACCAACCCTTCAACAAACTGATCATTACTCAAAATTCCATTCCTCCTTTCTTCTGTTGATAAACCAAAGTAGTAGTACACTAAAATTTCATCCACGGCAGTTCTATATGGTTCGAAAAGATCCAATAATGTGGATAAGTTAAGTAATGAAAAGAAATCTTGATGAGACTGTATCTTTGACGCCAACGAGGAAGTTAATGCATCATCCGTGGTATATAACCAATCTAAAAATGCATCAACAACTGTCATACCTAGAATTAAAAAATTCAATTAATAAAAATAACAAACGATATTTGTACAAGTAATCAACCATTTACTATACCTCTAAGTCCATTTACGGGGGCCTCAATAAAAATCATGGGTAAGCCTCCAGCTTCTTCGATCAATGATTGTTCTAGTGATTCTTCAAAATTCAAGGCTATTCTAGTATACTGAGTAGAGAGACTATAAAAGAGACTAGATTTTTGCATAAGATGATTTGATTGATTGACGTTAATTTTATAAGTACGTTTTAAATTTGGGTCATTTACTGTGGTTATTTGAAGAGTAAAGAGAGCTGTAGATGGAAGAAACGCTGATGGTGATAAAATTTGATAATTATTAGACACAACTTCAAGAGGAAGAGCTTTTATACTAAGGGAAGCAGTTTTTGTCGGCATTTTTTTATTATTTATCTTTAGTTTATTATCTACTTGTATATAGGGGGATAAGACAAAAGATCAACTTTTGTGTGGAAATTTTTTTTTTTTTTTGAGTATCTTGCGCGAGTGATCAGTTTGATGATGAATTTAATCTTCGCTTTTTGATGTGTATTTATTATAATCCTCTTGCTCTAAAATTCTAAATCGGGATATTAATGTTGTACATTTGTTTACAAATTATCTTCTTGATTTCAACTCAATTTTCAATAAACTATTATATTCTTTGTCTTATTTATAGTATCTGTCTGATTGTTTGATGATTAGCATATCGTTTCGTAAATGAAATCATTGTGAAACACCAATCACATAAATTGATATTGTTTTATTATATTAAACTTGATGAAAAAGGAAATTTTTTTAGCAAATCAAAATATTAAGACAATCACATACTGTCAACTTTATAATGACGAAAAATGGTTTAAATACCCCTCTTGATTTCTTTTCCAAAATAAGAATCATTCATATAAATTTTATTTACTACAATAAGAAATGACAGGTATGAAACAATAAACTTCGTGGAACTTAAATTTTAACCAAAACCAAAATTCCCTTTGTTCTAAGGTTGTAGCAACCAAACCCATTTTTCGAGAACCAAACCCGTCGTTTTATTGTCTTTCTTTTGACAATTCTTAAAATTCATGGATATAAGAAACAAACTTTGTCAAAGTTTCTGAACAAAGTGAAGGTGAAATTGGTCAAATGTAACACTTAAAGTAACAATATTTAACTATACAGAAATTTACATATCTCAAAAAAAATACAACGAATGCTATTGTAGAACTCCAAAATACATAAAAGAAAAAATTTTCCTACAAAATTTCATTTCTCGATACTCGAAAATTTTTTGTTGAAAAAAAAAACCCCCATTTTTTTTATTGAAAATTAAAGAGAGAAAAATTCAGAATCATTATCTCAAAGCTGCGCTGAGATTTTTTCAAAAGCTAAGCCAGGTTCAGGATTTTCCTTGTAAATGATATATATAGCTTGAATTAAAAATCAAGGTTGCAAGCCACTAATTATGAAATACTGCAGAGGCTGAAGATAAACAATTCTAAGCCTTTTAAATCAAATAAATAGAAAAGTAAATAATTAGCCACTTGCGAAAACAACACCACCAATACAATACAACCTTTTGAAAATGAATAATTACTTTATTTACTTTATCAATGATACATAGATTATATAATTTTTAAATCTATCTCGATATTTGAAAAAATTAAAGGTTTATTTAAAATTGATATAGAGATGTTTTTGGGAACAATCAAAGAAATTCTCTTTGTAATCTTGATAAATCATTGGAAAGGTTAGTCAACTAAAGAAATTATTTAATTTTTGTATGAATACAAAAGATCATCTAATTCTTTCTTGAAATAATTGCATAATTGAATGTTCTTTTTTTGTATAATAAATCATTTCTCTATAATAATTAATCACTGCACTATCACTGCACTGTAAGACGTCAAATTCGATTTACAATAAACGAATAAAATAAATTCATATTAGAAAAAATCGTACGTGCGACGTATTATTTATAGCACATTCTTTAAATATATAATAACTTAATTTCTTGCATGAGAAAGAATTAGTTTTAATCATATCCTTATCTGGTTTATGAAGGAATAATGTTTCCAATCACCTGTTAATTAGTTATAATAATACTAAACGTGTGTCAAGTATTGCTAGCGTTGCTGCATATGCTATTTGCTCCGCATTTAAAAATCTATTAATAAAATATAACGGTTAAAAAAAGAACATAATATCATCGATAAAACGTGCATTAAATCTAAAGTGCATATTTCTTCAACAATATATTTATAAACGTGGTTCTGAAACAATTGGAATATGTAATGCATATAAATGATTGATCTTAAAGTTAGGTCACCGTTAATTCTCGCTTTAAGTTCATCGTATGTTAGAACACGAATATTTTAAACGTATGATTTTATATATTCTAAACCCAGAGAGAATAAAGACAAAATTAATATTTATCATAGGTCGTTAACTTTTCACAAAATGATTAATGTTATTAAATACGGTTGGATTCTGAAACTCAAGGGGTAAATTTATTGTTTATAGAAATATTTCTTTGTTCTTATATCACGTGTTTCTGAAAATAAAATAATAAACACACTTATTGATTGATTGAAAAGCAAAGACCTTCACTCATCTAGTACCGAAAATACCGATTCATTCATTATTTTAAACTTTATATCATCATTTAATATCTGATAAAGTTGCAGAATAGTAAAAAAATTAGGACTTTTGAATAAATGATACGAGAGGAATGTTTGAATCTTGCTGTCTTAGCATGTGCATGAGTTAAGGTCTCATTTTTTTTGAATTAGTCTAAATTGACTGAATCATTTGAAATATTAGAATGTTCTAATTTTTCTAGAATTTGAATAACCATTTCCAATTACGTCATACTAACATATAAATAATTCCGATTGGTTTATTTATGACTCGATTATTTTTTAAAAAAAAACTCTATGCGGAAAGACAAAAAATTTCAACCAAGTTTTAACCAATAAAGTATCAAAAGAAAATATCTCAGAAATTTTAATTCTTGATTGAAAATGTTTTCCCATAAGACGAAAGGATTTGTTTGATAATTAACTAAATATAATAATTTATTTATGCAAAATATATTGTTAAAAATTCGTACTTCTATAATATGAACATTTCAATGTAAATATTTCAACGTAAATGAAAAAAAAAAAAATAGTTATTACAATGGTTTAAAGCATAATGGACAAATAAACAAAATTTAAATTGAGTTTTATTTACAATGAAATTTTATTCACTTTTGTTTACAATACTATCCACTAAGAAATTAAGGAAATCATTTTTTAACGCATACTTATTATGTGCCATTTTTGGAGTATTAGGATACAATAGTATTTATTATTAATCAATCACAATGACTAACCAAAAATGAAACCATTCCATTAAACCCTTGTCACATTTTCGCATGGCTGAATTATTTAACATAAAAAACCGGTGTTGTAAAGAAAATTATATAAAGGGGACCCCAATTTGACATTCAAAAAAATTTTGAAATTTGAAATTCATTTAAAATTCATTTAAAATTCATTTATTTAAAAATTTAATAAAATTGTTGGTCGAAAAAATACAAAGTAAAAATTAAACATAAACAACACCAACAATATAAAAACAATAAAAACCAACAATGCAAGACCGTAATAGCTTTTGTTCCGTCTCTAGTCCTATTAGATATAGTTACCCGAGAACTATTAATACTGTCGTTGTCGTTAACAGAAAATCCGTAACAATAGATCTCAAGAAAAAATTAGGGAGTCATACTCGACGAATTTCTAATGATTCAATTTCTTCCAATGATTCTGGTATTGGACTCCCCAAAGAAGAATATGAAATACGACGAGCTGTAAAAGCACAAAGAGTTTCAAGTGTTCAACGTCCACATATAATCTTAATGCACAAAGGTAAACCAGTAAACAATCAAAATAATGAAGATGCCGATTCTAATTTGATATTAAAGGCAGCCATTGCATCAAAAAGACATAGGAGAGAAATAGCCGTTATGCAACAAAGAAATTCTTTCTACAATGAGGAGAGAGATATAATATCTCATACGAAACAAGAATCAAATCCTATCATTGTAGATTTAAATGGTAATGTCGATGTTTCAAAAGTAGATGACAACAGTACAATTAATGTTTCAAAGGATGTAACACAAGAATCGGAAATAAATTCTGACATAAAGCCTGCAGTTTCCGAAGAATTTTCAAAAGATAATATTGTTTCTCTTGAAGAACCCATAATAAATTGTACGCTAATAGAATCTAAAATGGACATTATTCCCGAAGAACCAAAAGAATCAAACGAACAAATTCTTAAAACAAATAAAGAGAACATACCTATACATCGAATTCGATCACCAAGAAGAAATTCAATTTTCATAAATAATTATTCACCTATGAAAAAAATTTCGAAATCCGTGAAAAAATTTCTTGGTATCGGAAAAGAACAACGAAGAAATAGCATAGTATCTTTCCAAAAAATCATAAAAAATAATTTAAAAAATTATCCTTTTGAATAGCATTGTAAAGGGAAAATTATTCTATTATTTTTAAAAGAAAAAAAAAAAGTTAATTTTATTAAAAATAGATTATTCATTCATTTACACATTTTACATTTATCTTATTTATAAATATCATATTTCTCATAATAATATAAAAAAATATGCGTTATGGAAAACAAAAAAAAAAAAACTAAACTAAGGTTAAATAGCATTTTGAATCTTTATGTAATTATTTCTGTTATTTCTATATTTTTATTATGCAAATATGATTTCCCATTATGCAAAATAAACATATAAAATGTTAAATAACTTGCATTAATCATTAAATCATATCGTGATTTCGAATAAAATTTTGGCAAATCTGTAAATTTAATTAATTCGCAAAATCAATCCAGTAATAAATAAATACGTAACAATATAAATTTTGAAGCTTATACTTCTATAAATGGTATTAAATTGCGAAAAACTGTAAGGGGCATTATTTATATGCACAAAAAAAAAATTCAGTTATCTCTAAACTTTATTAACATTTTGTCAAGAAATGCTTCTAATATAATATGTAATATGAATAACATCAAAATTTATCACTGTTGTAGAGTACAAACATATCATATGGGTTTATAAATACCTTTTCGATGTCTCAGATTCAAAAAGAGAATTTATTTTTCTCGCCGTGTTATTATCATTCAGCAGATCTTGATATGAAGAATTATTTACTATCATAATTTTGAAAATTCCGTATTTCATCATAACGCAATCTTTATGACCCAATACTTCATTTTTTTTCTCAATTCAAGAAAGACGGAACGTGACTGTCGCATGTTTGAATTGTAGGCAACGTAAAGCAAAATGTTCTGGAGAATACGTTTGCGAAAGGTGTAAAACATACGAATTAGAACGTAAATTCACTCCCGTCGCTAAACGAAGTCCACAAAACTATAACAGGAAACTTCGTTTTAAGCCGCCTAAAACAATAATCGAAGATAATTTAACATTAAATATTAATAATAATAGTTTAATGACGCCTTGATTTTTCGTCATTTTTTAAGCAAACCTGTTTTCTAAATCTTCCATTTCGGACTTAAGATCTGAAAGTTTTATGTATAATTATCTGAAATTTTTAAGCTTCAATTTAAACGATTATAATCCATTATGGCATTCGTGGCAAGTTTACCATGAAGAAAAAATAGTTATAAATATGAATATATTGATATAATTGAAGTTACTGAAATCTTTATATGTTAGAAAACGATGATTCGTAGTTCGATTAAAAAATTGAAAATTCTCAAATTTTTCATCGAAGTTTATTATACGTCAAGAATGAACTAAATCAATTTTACACTTTAACGGAAAATAATTTATTTTAATATTCTGGTACTAAAGAACAGTAAATTACAAAAATGTCCATAATCTTCTTTCTTTTTAAAGACTTTTTATTTTAATGTTTATTGAATCATGAATGACTTGAGATATTCCCCTTTACTTTTTACCCGTTTCCTTATAAAACTAAGAATGATTTCTGAAATATTATAACACATGTATCCGGAAGAATGTTCCTAATTATGCCTCAAAAACATATTATAAGATCAATGCTAAAACTTGAATCCATTTTAGATATAATAAATTTTAATTAGATCAAAGATTAAATATTGTTTTGTTATCAATTAAGATTACTGCATATACCGAATTATTGTTATTTATATAGTTATCTGTATATCCTTCGATGAAACTTTTGTTATAAAAAAAATAACATTTGCCTATTTAAGAAACAATCATTATTCAAAACAAAAAATTGTCATATTATTTAGTTTCTTTACCAATTTTGTTTCTTGAACTTATCAAATAAACAAAAAACGTTGAACTTTATTCTTTCAGAGCACTTATTGTGGTCATTAAAATAGTTTTTGTTTACAATGTGACTATTTATTTTTATTAATATATATCTGCAGAATTTTGATACGTCATTTTGCCATTTTTAAAAAATAAACCAATATTTGAGATACAAAGAAATAAAGAAATCTATTAACATACATCATTCTTGAAATATAACTGAAAATGATCATATTAAAAAATCATATGCGTACCTAGCATTTAGCCAATTTAGAAACTACGTGGCGGGAAATTTTTATTATAATTAATCATGACACGACAAACGAATGTAAAACCTGATACTTAAGAATTGTTTGATAAAATAAAAATTCTCTCTTAATGATCCTTCCAAAAAAAAATTTTGAAAAATTATATATAAACCATAACATATTCGACATAATACATACGATCTTATAAAATAAATTACTACATAATGGCATTTATGTTCATCTTTACAAAGTAAAATTGTTCCCCAGGCATATTATTATTCACAATGGAAATTTAAGCATAAATTTATCGTACCCAGCCTTGATAACCAGAATTAAGTTTTTTCGCGATTAAAGCTTCTATTTTCTTTTGAGCAGTAGCTTCATCATTATGTTGTTCTACTTGTATCGCTCTTTCCTTTAAACTGCCATCAGCAACTATGCTACCATAACGAATATATGTTGTCTCTCCATCTATTTTAAATTGCCAAAATTTTGTTGCAGTCTCGAGATGACCAGATTGTATGAATTTTTCATTGATCAATAAATGATTGTCGAGTAATTCTTCATCTATTCTTTGACCTTTTATTTCTTTTGAAATATTACATTGTTTTCGAAATATATTGTCGCTCATTCTCTGTATTTTCACAGATGCATCTGAAACGAGTTTCTCGACTGAAGTTAGAAAAGATTCCATTGTTATCTTATTTTTTCTTGTTGTTAATTTTTCTAAATTAAAAGTAATGAGATATGAGAAATATTGGAAACAATTTTGTTAATAATATTGATTATTTCAATAAGTCGAGTGTCATTATTTTTTATGAACACCAATTTATTTTAATTTTTTGTTTATCAAAACTTTTGATCTAGCTCTCTGACAGGTGATAACTTTAATCTATTTAACAAAAATGGAATAAGTGTATAGGGAGTTTCTCTCATTTTTTAACTGATTATGGCTTATCGCGAAATTCGGCGCTTTCCTAAATCAGGCTGAGTATGTAAAGTTAACGCATTTTCTGCATCTGGTTTATAAACAATAATAAATCGAATAAAAAAAAATCGTAATTTCACGAGTTGCATGATAATTATATCAAATTATATCATCAGTGAAACATTTCTTTTATGGCTGTACGTGTGTGTTCTGTGTAATGACCAATTGTTCACTTCTTTGAGATATACTTCTTTGTCGCGTTTTAGTAATTCACACAATAGTCACAATGGTATGATAAAAATCGTTTTTTTTAAGCTGTGGTACTACGCGCTCCCCAAAATATTCCATTTTTTCACCAGATTTTCAGATTTTCGAATTTTTATCAAATTAAGCATGTCTTTATAAAAAAAAATTAGGTGTCAACCATAAAAAGATGTATTTCAATATAGCATTGTGATGTGAACACGTGAGCCAATTTTATGCATATACATTTTTTATAGTAGTTTACGAATTGAAAATACTTTTATTTATTTTGGAAGGTCTTGTCAATACAATTATAATATTTCTGAAACGTATCTTTTGATATTGCATATCTGTGATATTTGATCACTAGAACATTATTACAGAAAAAAATTTCTAATAGTGCATCACTATCAATTACAGTTATATTCTTATAATAACAGGATTTTATAGTTAATCAGTTAAAGGGCTTTATCTCTATGAATATCATCTAAACTCAATATAAAACAATTATTATTTTCTCCAGGTGTGAATATTTATTAGCTAAAATGCAGCCTACAGAAAAGTACATTTTGAGCAGTTATCTATTTATATAAAGGAGATAATATGTATATAGTATAATATTTAAATCTCCACACAATACTTTTAGGGAATAATGATTATTCTTAAAAAAATATTATACAATCAATATTAGAATATAAAGATCTGTACATGCAATATACATTTCTTAATTGTATTTTTTTGAATAGAATTCATATCAGGTATATGAATGATAAAAAAAAGAAAATCAAAACATTATTTATTCCACATTTAACAGTTTAATTATGAAAAATTCAATAAACAAGACAAATAATCAATAAAATCAAAAACTAGTTATAGCACTACAAATGATATCAAAGCTATAGGTGCAGACTTATGCTTAACTAAAGGTTACGTCAATGCGTCACTTGATATATAAGTTAAGTCATAAAGACGCATGATGTAACTCTTGAAGTATACCGTAACTCTTGACGTATCTGTAGACGTAACTATGAAATACATGATGTATCATTTTATATTATGATTATGGAGAATTAGTTTTGTAGTCAAATAGAATCTATCATAATTGCCGTACTTGTTTCTCTGATAATTATACCAAACAGGAACAATATCATAATAATAATCCTAATAGTGATAATGATATAATGATGGTCTTCAATTAAAATGGGAATAAAGAGATCAATTTATTTTATAATAATAAATATATTTTTTGTCATTCAGATTTAATTTATTTAAAATTTATTTATTTAATTTATTATTAATTTAATTAACAATACTCTAATTTACTTTTATCAATTTATTTATATATTTGATCATTCAATTTATTCATTTATTTTATTAATAAAAATTCAATAAACTATAACAACTTATACATATTGCCATGTATTATAAATATTGCATATTCCAATAGAATTCCTATATCTGATGGTCATTAAAAAAATATATTAGCTAGTCATCAAAATAAAAACAAATATATTTAATAATATTAAATTATTTTTTTGTAATAATTTAACCTATAATAACAACGGGAGAAACTGATAATAAAGAACTGTCAAACTTAAATCTAAAAATATCAAAATTGTTGTCACGGGTGTTATTGTTAATATTCACTCAATGGTTCTTTTAAAGAGTTTATAGTCCTTCCCCATAGGTACAAGATTTCCAGTTTGGTTATTCCTTGAATTTTAGAAAGCACCAGTTAGTTTTTAGTTAGAACTAATAAACTAATATTCATCCACTTTAATCATAATATCCATTCCAATATTACATTTCTTAACTTCTGAACATCCTTAATGTTATCTATTCATAATTTCATTATAACATCTTTATTAATTTATTCTCATAATTTCATTATAACATCCTTATTAATTTATCTTCATAATTTTATCCTAATATCCTTAAATAATATATCTTCATAACTTCCATTTATCATCTTTAGTATTGAATAAATACTTTATCAATAATTATTAGGACAGAACAAATATAATTAATTATTTAATTAATTATATAACTTCCATCTGATATCCTCATTTATTAACTTGAATAATAATATTTATTATTTTACTTTCACTATGTAAATTTAATAGGAATTTACATATATACACTTATGTAAATGATTACATTTCATCCTCTGAGAATTACAATTAATTAAAGTTATAAAAATATAAAATTAAATAATGTAAACCTATTGAAACTATTTGAGATAAGGGGTATATTTATACTATTTTGATTGCTGCGCCACAAAATACTATTTGCTAGTAATTATAAATGATATAATACTAATAATATTAATATAATAACTATTACTAAATAATATTAAATATAAATAATTAATAAATGTTAAGTAATACTAATTGGTATTATGTGATTAAACTAATATGTTTAAATATTAATAATAAGTTAAATAATTGTTTATCCTCTGTTATAATGTATTGTTTTTGATTAATAATTATGATATTACATTTTATACCATAACATCATCAAGAATGACAAGATCAAAAATAAAAAAATATCAAAAACTACATTAATAACAGCTCAATAAATAACAAAAACAACTATACAAATAGAGAAGGGTGTATATAGTTGATTTTTTTTAAATTGTCAAAATTACAAACTTGAAAATTACTGATTTCAACTAACCAACTACTAAAAATAAAAAAAAATAGATAAAATATTAGTAATGAAATAAAAGTAACAATAAATAAAAACAACAATAAAATAAAAAAAAATAAAAATCGAAAAATGTCTACTATACACTTCCTTAGCAAAAGTATTTGTAGAATAATAAAATTCAAAAATAATTGCTAAAATTAAAATGCTAATTGTGGCACAATGAGTAGGGATGTTATCGGTTCGACTCAGTTTGGTTCAGTTCAAAAGTCATTGGTTGAACCCTCAAGTTGAACTGAACTATGGTTCCTCAACTGCAGTTTCACTATTGGTTTAACCATCAGTTTAACCATCAGTTTAACTATCGGTTTAACCATTAGTTCAACCATCAGTTCAGCTGTCAGTTCAACTATCAGTTCAACTGTCAGTTCAGCTATCAGTTCAACCATTGGTTTGACCATTAATTCAGTCATAGGTTCAACCATTAACTTAACCACCAGTTTAACTGTCAGTTCAACTATAGGTTT